TTCCCAGGTGCAGAGATGCTGAGCCCTCTGCCCCGCCCCCGCCCCACCCGGTCTTAGGAGTGAAGCAGAGCCAGGGACAGTGCAGCGTGGAGGTGATGAACTCAGCTCCCTTTGGGCCTAACAATGGACTCTGAGGTGGCAGGGATGAGTCAGGGACGAGTGTCTGCGGGTGGGGGCCCCAGTCGGAGGAAGGGGTGGGCCCGGGAGCCCGGGGCAAAGAGAATGGGCAGGATGCAGTGAGTCACCGCTTCTCCTGGCCTCGCTTTGGGGGTCCACGCAGGGGGATGGCCCGCTGTTTAGGTGTGGGTCTGTAAAGGTGGTGATCCCTCAGACATGTTGGTCAGCTGTGGCCGGGGGATGTGGCATCTGCCGTCAAAGAAAGCAGGGCAGGGCTAGAGAAGCGGAGTGGCCTGGCCTTTGGCTCAGTGGTTTTGTGGGTACAGGGGCAGTCTGGGGCACATGGCCGAGCAAACAGGGGTGAGGAGAGGAGTCAGAGGTGCTGAGGGGGGCGCGGTGGGGGCTCCTGCTGGGAGGGGCTGCAGAAGCTGGGGAAAGCCCGACTGTGCAGGGGAACGCTTTGACCTGCAGAACCCCAGCACGGGCGCGCTCTCCAGCTTGGGAAGGGTAAAGAAGAGGGCTGGGCTGCAGTCTGCCCTCCTGCCCTGGTGGGCACCACTGCTGGGTAAGGGGAGTCTGTGCAGTGTGGGGACTGGCCCCTTTGTTTGGCCCCATGTGACCCTAATTGGAGTGGGATGTAGAGAAAGGAGGGGTGCTTTGGGGGACCACGTGGGTGCAGCTCGGACTCCAGCTGTTCACAGAAGGAGCCTGGCCTGGGGTGCCTCCTGCCAGCCAGCGACACTCCCAACCCTCACCACCGAGTCCCGCTGCTAGTGTGTCTCCCTGTCCCCCCCTCTCCCAGGGGCCGGGGGAGAGTCCCCTGAGTCCCCACGCCTGCCCAGGTGTGAGCACGTGTGTAGCCTGCCATAATTACCCGACATCCTGAGCCCTGGTAGGCGCTGAGCTGGCCTTGCAGCTCTGGCCCCTGGGGTTCCCTGGGTCTTTGACAGTCTGGACCCAAGGTCCAGCCACAGCAGAGGAGACGCATGATCCTGGGCAAGCTTTGTGGAGAAATTGGAGCTGGGCACCAGATGCCCACCCCCACCATGGAATGAGTGGACAGAATCCAGAGTCCGGACTCCAGCCCGCCCTGCCCCCATGACTAGCGTGGGGCTTCCAGGAGAAATGATGGGACCCCGGCCCCTGTGAGGGGGCTGTTGTCGGGGCGGGGTGGTCCTGGAGGGGCCTTGGCACTGACGGTGGTTGGGAGCCCCGCTGGCCCTCACTGCTGAGGTCCCCTGGGCCAGCAGGGGGCACTAGAGGGCAGTCTGCCGAGCCCCGCCTTTCTTGTGTTTGGGGTTGGGGAGGAGGCTGTAGGGGCGTGCTGCCTTATTATGCCTTTTTTTTTTTTAAAGATGTAAATATTTATTTCAAAGGCGGAATGACGGGAGTGGAGAGAGAAACTTGGATCATTTAGTTCACTCGCCAGACACCTCATTAACCAGGGCTAGGCCAGGCCCAAGGTGGGAGGGCTGAACTCCATCCGGGTCCCCAGGTGGGCTGCCAGGACCCAAGGGCTTGAGCCCAGATGCCGGAGCTGACCGGGAGGCGCAGGAGCCGGGACTCAAGCAGGACTCGCGTGGGAGGTGTTGACGTCCTCAGCTGTGGCTCAGCCCACTGTGTCACCACCCCAACCTACCTCAGTAGAAGATGAGAGAATGGCCAGGCGGGTCCCCAGCAGCCCCGGGCTGCGAGGTCTCCCTGCTCTGGGTGGGGGCAGGACCCACGCTGAGACCTAGCAGCCGCTGCCACTCAGAGCGCACATTCCAGGAGCCTGGCCAGCTCCTTCTCTCACAGGCGGGGGGGAGCGCAGGGCAGGTGGCCCCGAGGACCTCGCCCTCATTCCCTCCCAGCAGCCCTCTCTGGCACCGGCAAGTACAGTGCCTGGGGCAGATGTGGCACAGCGGAGGAAGCCGCTGCTGGTGACGCCGGCATCAGGGTGCTTGCTCTGAGTTCAGGCTGCCGTCTGCCCCTGATTCCGAGGCCCCTGCGGCAGCTCCCCGGAAGGCGGAGGGAGAGTGCCTGGGCTCTCGTCTCCCGGGTGGGAGACTCTGTGATGGCGTTCCTGGCTGGCCATCTGGAGAGAAAAACCAGCAAATGGAAGTGCGTGCTCTCTCTATCTCCTCTGTGGGTTCTACCTTTCAAACAAGTAAATCTTTTTAAAGCACAGAAAAAAGATGTTGGGTGGCAGGAGGGAGGGGCCTGGTGCAATAGCTCAATTGACTAACCCTTCCCCTTCAACCGCTAGGATCCCAGATGGGCTACAGTTTGTTCTTGACTGCTCCACTTCCCATCCAGCTCCCTGCTTGTGGCCTGGGAAGGCAGTAGAGGACGGCCCAAAGCTTTGGGACCCTGCATCTGCATGGGAAACCAGGAGGAAGCTCCTGGTTCCTGGCTTCAGATCGGCTCAGCTCTGGCTGTTGCATCCACGTGGGGAGTGAACCAGCAGCAGATGGAAGATTTTTCTGTCTCTCCTCTCTGTAGATCTGACTTTCCAACAAAAATCAATAAATCTTAGGGGAACAAAAAAGATGTTAGGGTCCCAGGATCCAGGACCCTGGGGTGGGTGGCTTGGTGCAGGGGCCTCCCCATCTCAGCTGGGACTCCTGGGCCTAGCCAGCCAAGACCCTGTGCTGTACCCCTGCCATCTGCTTAGCTCCAGAGGCCTCAGGGCAGGCCTTGGAAGCCAAAGGGTGAAAGGCAAGGCCCAGGTCCCAGGGAGGGAGGAGCTGGGGTGCTGTTTGCATTGCTGGGAGACAGCTGGCAGAGCTGCCCCACCCTGGCCAGCGTGCCCACACAGGCAGCTTCCACCCTTAGTCTAAGAGGCCAGGTGTGGCCCTGGGCCAGCAGGCTCCAAGGGAGAACCCCCAAGCAGCTGTGTGCTGCAGCCAGGGAGGCCAGGCTGCTGCCAGCAGGGCACGGACCTGGCTCCAGCCCCGTGGCCTCTCCTGGTCACCAAGTTCCCACCCCAGGCCCCTGCTGTGGGGCAAGGTTGCCCATTGGATTCCTGGGAGGTCCACTGGCCCTCAGGGCTGGTGGGGGTACTGGAGGAAAAAAAGGGGCCTGAGGTGGGGGTCCTGACTCGGAGATTCCATTATTCATGAACCCCAGTGTCTGGTGTCTGGGTATCGGTTTCAACAAGCCGGCCCTGACTCATCCCGCCTGTGGCCAGAGCTGGAACCGGAACCGGAACCATGCCAGGCTAGGCTGGGCTGGGGTGGGGCCGGAGCTCTTGATGAGTTCAGGAGGCATTCCCCACCCCTGCTGTAGGAGGTTGGGGAGCCCAGGTCTTCGGGTTCATGGGTCCTGGGTTCCAGGTACCTTCCCTCGACCCCTCGACTGGCCACTTGGCCGCAGTGCCCTGTACTGCCTGGGGTGCCTGGTCCCTCAGGCCACTGAGTGGGCCTAACCCCACCCCAGGGGGTCCCCTTCCCTAGCCCCCAGGAGGGTGGTCCTCCAGACCTTCTGCTCCGACCGCACCGAGGTGGTTCCCAGGCCTCACCGCACCCCTGGCTAGCTGGGCGCAGGACTCTGTGTCCATTAGCTCAACCACCCCCACATCCCCTCCCCCACCAGTTCTTTGGCACAGATCTCTCCAGGATGTAGCTGCCAGGCTGCCTCTGGGGGGACAGTGACACCTCCTGGGGTCTTGGAGAAGAGCGAATGAACGAGTAGACTGCCCCAGCCCCCCGGGAGGCACAGCCCTTCCTCAGGGATGACATGGCAGAGGCTCTCAGATGGACGCTCACTTACTGCGGCCAGCAGCCCAAGGTCACGGACCTAGGAGGAGGGGGATCCTCGGGTCCAGCACCGGGAAGGCTCTGCTGACCATGGGCGGCAGGAAAAGCTGTCCCGTCCCCTGTGCGTGAATACGTGCCTCTGTCTGCAGGCATCCATTCTCGCATCCCGGCGACACTGCGCGCCCAACCTCTGTACAGGGCCGGGGAGCAGGTGGAGATGGCAGTGAAGAAGTGAGCTAAGGAGGCAGTGAGTGCCGAGTGCTGGAGGGAAGAAATCCAGTCTCAGGGGCAGAGCTGTCCAGAGGGCTGAGCGGCAGGGCCCAGCAGGGAGCTGGATAGGAAGTGGAGCAGTTCATGCCGGCTTGGGTCAAGGAAGCAGCCTCCCCCACTCTGGTCAGGGGTGGGGTTTCATTCTAAGCGAGATGGAAGTTGCAAAACTGGGGTGTAGCTGGAGAAGAACTTAGGCTTTGCGCGTGGGAATGGTCCTCAAAAACCGGCCAGCCTTCAGTGAACTCTCTGGAAGCCCCCTCCAAGAGGGCCAGACGTCCCCCTTGGCTGGAGGATCCTGGGGAGGCCGGGTCAGAAGCCTTCGTCCAGTCCATGGACTCTGGGGTGTCCCTGTGACTGTGCCCCACCCCCCGTGATGGACAGGGCTAGTAGAGCCCTGCCCTTCTCCCAGCGACCAATGTAGAAGTGCCTGGGGAGCCCCAGGGTCCCCCAGTCCAAGGGTGGGTGTCCTCTGGGGTTTGTCTAGAGAGCGCCCTCTGACTCTGGGGCCCATCAGAGCTGGGCTGGGCAGTACCCTCCACCCTCTTCTGGGCAGCAGGTCCTGGGTTTGGCTTTAAGGCAGGCTGGTGGGCTGCCTGGGGCCGTGGCCTCGCCCCATCTAGCTGGAAACAGCCTCCAGCCTTTAGGTGTGTCCTCAGCGGGGAAGAGGGGCGGAGTGGGCGGGGGTCCCCCCATCAAGGCTGGAGGCCGAGGTGCAGGCAGGGATGGCTTCGGGGCGGGAGGAGCATAGGCTGTCACCGGCCCGGCCCCCCGGGTCGTGGCGCTCGGTGGGGCGGGCGCGGCCGTACAATGGCAGGAAGCGGGGCTCCGCGCTTTGTCCGGCGAACGGCGAGACCGAGGCTTCCTCCGGCCGCCATGGGGACGGGACCCGGCGTCTCCGGGCGCCGAGCGGCCTCCAGGCCGGACCCGGGGCTGCCCTCGCGGGACTCTGAGCTCTCCTGGCCCCGGGGTCGCCCCCGCGACGGGGACGAGCAGGTATGGGGGTGGGCGATGGGAGGGGTCCCGCTTGGGGAGGGTGGGGTGGGGCTTCGCGCGGTCGGCCGTCCCCAGGCGTGGTCTCCAGGGGTTGAGCTGCAAGGGGCAGCAGGCAGGGCCCGGCCGCCCTGTGATCCCGAGGTGTCTCCCCGACTCCCGGGTGGGAGGACCCCACCGCTGGCCTTTTCTGTCTAGAGCCGCCCCTCCGGACACACCTGTGGTTCCAGGCCCCATCCACTTTCCTTTCTCTGACCCAGGCCCTGCCCTGCGGACCTCTGCCCCTGGGTTCAGCCTTGTGTGAGGGGTAAGAGTGACTTCCAGGTGCCCCCCACCCACTAGGAAGATGGCCTTGACCCTACCGAGGTGACCTGGCCATGTCCTTGGACGGAGAGGTCCTGCCCCCTCCCCCAGGGAAGCCCTGCTGCCTTCAGAGGCTCCCGTGAGGTCAGAGGGTAGAGGCCAAGGGCCAGATTTGAGGGTAGGACCACCGTGCTTTGGTGCTGGGGAGACCCCTGCCCCCGGAGGGAGCTGAGCTTGGGAGACCCTGTGGTTTGAGCCGGGGCAGCTGCCCCAGAGGGTCCCAGCCCCACTCCCTGGGGACTGTCCAGGACTTGGGAGGATAGCCTGGGGACGGCAGGCTGCTCAGGCTACAAGCAGGTGTTTCTGTGCACAGCAGCAGCCCCACCCAGGGTCCGGTGACAGCCACCCAACGCAGCTGGGACTCTTGTGCCTGTGCGTGTGCACCCCTCACCAGGTGTCTGCCTGCTCTGTAGGGAATGACCATACAGTGCACTGCCCACGGGCTGACTTGGCTTTGTAATTTCTTGAGAAGAATTACATTGTTGCAGTGTTTGCTTAGGGGCTGGCCTTGCCGTGTGGTGAGCTGCCAACCCTACAGTGCCAGCATCTCCTCTCACAGCACAGGTTAGTGTTGGCTGCTCTACTTCCGACCCAGCTCCCTGCTCGTGTACCCGAGAAGGCACCAGACAGTGCCCCAAATACCTGGGTCCCTGCTGCCCACGGGGGAGACAGTGAAGGAGGGAGTGCTGGCCGGGTGTGCAGCAGCCTGGTCGTTATGGCTGCATGGGGAGTGAGCCAGCGGATGGAAGACTCCACTCGCCCTTGCAAATACATATATATACACACACACATATATATATACACATATATATATTCATATATACATATAAATATATACACACACACACACATATATATATGACTTGTTGTATTTGTTTGAAAGAGTTACAGAGGGGCTAGCGTAGTGGAGTATAAGTTAAGCCCCTGCTTGTAGTACTGGCACCTGATATGGGTGCTGGTTCGAGTCCTGACAACTCCACTGTTGATCCAGCTCCCTGCTGATGGTCTGGGAGAGCAGAGGAGGGGCCTTGGGACCCTGCACGCATGTGGGAGACCCGGAAGAAGCTCCTGGCTTTGGATTGGTTCAGCTCCAGCCATTGCAACCATTTGGGGTGTGAGTCAGTGGATGCACAATTTTTCTTAGTACTTGCCTTTCAAACAAACACAAATATTTTCTTTTCAGATTCATGTATTTCTATTGGAAAGGCAGAGTTACGGAGAGAACGAGATAGAGAAAGATCTTTCGTCCACTGGCTCACTCCCTAAGTAGCCACAACGGCTGGAGCTGAGCCAATCCAAAGCCAGGAGCCTGGAGCCTCTTCCAGGTCTCCCATGTGGGTGCAGGGTCCCAAGGCTTTGGGCCGTCCTCGACTGCTTTCCCAGGCCACAAGCAGGGAGCTAGATGGAAGTGGAGCAGCCGGAACATGAACTAGTGCCCATATGGGATCCTGGCACATGCAAGGTGAGGATTTAGCCACTAGGCTATCACACTGCCCCCTCCCCAAAATACTTAAAAATACAAAAAGTTACACAGAGAGAGAGAGGTCTTCCATCTGCTGGTTCACTCCCGAGATGTCTGGCATGGCTGGAGCTGGGCCGGCTTGGAGCCTGGATCCTGGAGCCTCTTCGGGGTCTCCAGTGTCGGTGCGGGGACCCAGGTACCTGGTTGTCTGCTAATGCTCAGAGCAGAGGGGCTGAGAACTGCACCAGACAGTTCCCTGTGCGTTCCAGGCTTGAACAGCAGCCTCACGCAGTTACCACCATGCCATCTCCTGGTTTCCAAGCCAGCTGGTGTCGCAGGAGCTGGGCCTAGAGGGGCCCCCGGTGCCTCCCCAGGGCCTCTGCCCTGTCACCCACCACCCACTGCGAAGCCAGGGCTGAGCAAAGCCTGCTGGTGAGGGAGGGGGCAGGTAACTCCCAGAACTCATTCTCTAGTTTGGAGTCCCCTAGAGTGCAACGTAGCGCCCTGAGGGTGCCAAGGTGGTCGGGCATGGGAGCTGGGCCAGCTTTCTGCTTTGTTTACCATTAGGTACAATAAAGACAGAAGCACAGAGAAGAAGGTTGCCAGCAAGGGAGGGACGTAGCTGAGGAGGTGGGCAGGAGGGGCCTCAGGAGGGCTGCCCGGCCAGGGCTTCAGGACCACCTCCCAGGCCGATGGCTCCCAAAGGAAGATCTCCAGTAAGGACCCTCCCCAGGACCCACCCCCTGTTCCTAACCTGCTCCCGGCTAACATGCCTGGGGCAGCAACAGCACATGGCCCAGTGTTTGGGTCCCTGCACCCATGTGGGAGACGCAGAGTTCCAGGCCCCGGCTTCAGCCTAGCCCGGCTCAGGTTGGTGTGGTCAGTGAAGGGGTGGACCAGCAGGTGGAAGATCTCTGTCACTCAACCTTTCAAATAAGAGCTCTGAAATTGTATCATGAAAGACCCCAATTTAAGATTTACTTATTTATGTTTATTGAAAAGTCAAATATATAGAAAGGAGGAGAGATAGAGAGGAAGATCTTCTGTATGCTGATTTACTCCCCAACTGGTCGCAATGGCCAGAGCTGAACTGATCCGAAGCCAGGAGCCAGGAGCTACTTCTGGGTCTCCTGCACTGGTGCAGGGTCCCAAGGCCTTGGGCTATCTTCAACTGCTTTCCCAGGTCACAGCCAGGGAGCTGGATGGGAAGTGGAGCTGCTGGGATTAGAACTGGCGCCCATATGGGATCCCAGCACGTTCAAGACGAGGACTTTAGCTGCTATAGTGCTGGACCCTGGGAATTCAGGTTTGGGGAGATAAACAGACATAACCAAAATCCGTTGAAAGGACACAGTTTTGAGGGCTGGGAAAGTGTGAACATAAACTCCAGATGCACTGACTGCCTGGCAGAGCCCATTTTCGTGAGCGGGGTTTGCAGGAGACGTCCTGTTCTGGGCGATGCCCGGGAGGAGGGTGAGAAGTGGGCAGCTGCTCCGTGGGATGTGCAGGGGGTGCGAGGATGGCAGTGAGCTGTTCCTGAGCCGTCTGTCGGCTCTGGAGAGCAGGGGCAGAGTGGGTGCAGGTGTCTGCTCTGCGGAAGGTGGTACAGGGCCTGCGGGCTCTGTGAGGGTCGGGTGCCTGCGGGCGTGGTCCTGGGAGGGCCTTCGCGGCAGCTGTGAGCATGGCTCTGGACGCGAGCCCTGGTCTTGTGTGGGAGCAGGGTGGCCTGCCTTGGGTCTCCTGTCTCCCTGTGGAGGACGCGGTAGAGCAGCCAGAGGAGCTGCTAGAAATGGGACGCAGAGAAGGTGTGGAACTGTGGTGCCACGGTGGGGTAGACTGAGGCCCACGCTGCCCAGCTACATGTGGCAACTCAGGTGCACCACTGCCCTGTCACCTCTGACTGGGGGAGCGGGGAGTGGGCACCTGGGAACTCAGGCCCTCCCATGCCAGCAGAGTTGGCCCGGCTTCCTTTCTGGAGGTCCCGTGTGCCCGGGCCTGGCTGCACCTGCCTTGTAGTTTCCCACTGAGGACACTCAGCAGGTGCTCAGGTAGGCTGAGTGAGGGAAGGAGCGGGTGGGGCCCTGTGAGCAGCAGACAGTGGGACAAGGGAGGGACAGCCCGGCCTCGGTCAGCAGCCTCACCGTGCGCTGCGGGCGGCAGGCGCACCTAGCTGGGCCTGGCTCACTGCTTCCCCTCCCTCACAGGTATGTCAGCACGCCAGCTGTCGGCAGCTGCACCTCGGGGGGCCACTGGGCCTCTGCGAAGCCTGTGACAGCAAGTTCCAGAGCAGCATGCACTGCGACGGCCATGTCCACTTCGACCTGCCCCCGCAGGGTAAGCCTTCATTCTCTGCAAGGAAGCCAGTGGGGGCGGTGCCCTGGGACGACACAGGTGCTGTCTGCGCCTCCCACCCCCAGGGGCCCTGCCCCTGGCCCAGAACCTTCCTGGAGAGGACCCTTTCTCCTTGTTCCTCCTGGGCCTAGCAGGGACAGCGGTGGCTGGAGGCCACTGGAAACACGTCTCTGCTGCTGTGTGGGGACCTGGTCCCGGCCCGCTCTCTGCAGGCTGTCAGGCCGCCAGGCTGGGCAGGACAGAAGGACAGAAGGACTCTTGTGTGCCAGTCCCCACTGCAGCAGTGGGGGCGGGGAGGCCATGGGTTTGGGTCCCAGAGGCAGGTCCCCTGTCCTTGTAGCACAGAAAGGTAAATTGACCACAGGAGGGTTTGCCCTGGGGACGGCTTGTCACCTGAGACATCACCCCGTGCTCTGGAGTCACTGGGGTCTGGGAGTGGGACAGATGGCCATCGATGAACAACCCTGCTTGCAGAACTGAGGGGCCTAGCCACGTGTGGGCACTTTGGGGTTTGGTGCCTTATACTCGGCCATGTTGGGGCCGGGCACAACACAACCCTCCACCTTTACTCCGAAGGCTCTGTCCTGGCCCGGAACGTGTCCACGCGGTCATGCCCCCCGCGCACCAGCCCCGCGGTCGACTTGGAAGAGGAGGAAGAGGGCTCTGTGGATGGCAAAGGGTAGGTGGAGAGGCCCCAGGGCTGGGTCTCAGGTCAGCTGTCCAAGGAGCAGGTGTTTTGGGGCTTTCCCCCAGAACCCCGAAAGGCTCTGGGGTCAGCCACCAGTGCCCCAGTAGTGACTTCATGATGGCCACCAGAGGGCGCACCACGCTGTAGGCCTGTCTGCCTGAGTGGGGACGTGGGAAGCCAGGGTCGGCTGGGAGGCCAGACGAGGCCCCCACTGCTGTCCACTCCTTGGAGGCCCACTGCTGCCCTCGCTGCCGCCCTGCAGGGACCGCAAGAACACAGGCCTGAAGCTGTCCAAGAAGAAAGCCAGGAGGAGGCACACGGACGTAAGGAGCCCCTGGGCTGGCATGCACAGTCCTCCCCACACCCCGAGGCTGCACCTCCCTGCTCTGACTCCAGGATAGAGCAGGGGGTCTGGAGGCTGCGGATCCCTGCCTGTAGTCGGGCACTGCCCAGGAGCCCCTGTGGACGCCTGCCCCCGTGCAGGAGGGCTGGGAGCTCCCTGGTATTCAGATGGCCCCTGGAGTCCCCATCCTGGCTGGGCAGGTGGGCATGAGGGTGGCAGAGGAGAAGCTGATGCCTACACGACCTCTCAGGACCCCAACAAGGAGTACTTCACCCTCAAGTTCGACCTCAGTGTGGACGCCGAGACGGAGATCGTCCCAGCCATGAAGAAGAAGTCGCTGAGGTAGGGCTCGGTGTGGCTGCGGGCCGACGGGGAGCAGGACCGGCGAGGTGGTCGGGGGGCCCGGCCCTGGGTTCCTCCAGTGTGCTGCCTGTGTGCCCAGACTCGTGCGCAGGGCTTCTGTGCCCGGGCACTGCCCTTTGTTGTTGCTGGACTAAGGAGATGCACTGTTTGTAATAGCCAGATGGTTAACTTGAACGAGGCATGTCCTTCACAGCCAGAAGAAACAGAAGCAAACGAGTGTGCTTCTAGAAGGAGGAGGAAAGCCAAATGTTGGGCCCTTACGCTGGCAAAGCCCACTAGTCATTTTATTGTTTTTTGTTTGTTTGTTTTTAACGGCTATTTACTTGAGGGCCCGGCCCAGTAGCCTAGCAGCTTGAGTTCTTGCCTTGCACACCCGGGATCCCATATAGGCAGCACTTCACAACCTGACAACCCAGCTTCCCTCCCCGCTTGCGGCCTGGGAAAGCAGTTGAGGACGACTCAAGATCTTGGGATCCTGCACCCACATGGGAGACTCTGAAAGAGGCTCCTGGCTCCTGGCTTCAGATTGGAACTCAGCTCCGGCCATTGTGGTTAATTGGGGAGTTAACCAACAGACCCAAGATCTTTCTCTCTGTCTTGTCTTCTCTCTGTAAATCTGATTTTCCAATAAAAATAAGTAAAATCTTGAAAAAAAGAGCTATTTACTTGGAAGTCAGAGTGGCAAAGACAGAGCCTCTCCATGTGCTGGTTCACTCCGCAGAGGGTCACACAGCCAGCGCTGGGCCCCCGGTCACTCCGCAGAGGGTCACACAGCCAGCGCTGGGCCCCCGGTCACTCCGCAGAGGGTCACACAGCCAGCGCTGGGCCCCCGGTCACTCCGCAGAGGGTCACACAGCCAGCGCTGGGCCCCCGGTCACTCCGCAGAGGGTCACACAGCCAGCGCTGGGCCCCCGGTCACTCCGCAGAGGGTCACCACGGCCAACGCTGGGCCCCCGGAGCAGGAGCTGTGCCCGCAGATACAAGCACTTGGGCCTCCTCTACTGCTTTCCCAGGCTACCAGCAGAGAGCTGCATGGGAAGTGGGCCAGTGGCGCATGAGCTGGTGCCCACGTGGGATGCTGGTATCACAGAGCAGGGTTTATCCGCTGTGCCACAATGCCAGCTCCTCAATTTTAAAAGAAGGATTTGTTTATGTGAAGGGCAGAGTCACAGAGAGAAAGGGAGATATCCGGTGGTTCATTCCTCGGGTTGGAGCCGGGATCCAGGACTCTTCGGGATGGAGCCAGGATCCAGGACTCCTCGGGATGGAGCCGGATTCAGGAGCTCCAATGGGAGGGGGAGAGGTCCCAGAAGGAGCTCCTGGCTTTGGATCAGCTCAGCCATTGTGGCCATTTGGAGAGTGAAACATGAGATGGAAGATCTTTCTGTTGTTTGTGGGTCTGTGTATATATATTTAAAGGTTTTTTTTTTTTTTTAAAGTGGAAAGTCAGATATACATAGAGGAAGAGAGACAGAGGAAGAGCTTTGCAACAATTGGAGCTGTGCCCAGGAGCTGGGAGGCTCCCCTGGTCTCCTACGCAGGTGCAGGGTCCCAAGGCTTTGGGCCGTCCTCCACTGCTTTCCCAGGCCACTGGCAGGGAGCTGGATGGGAAGTGGGGCTGCCGGGATATGAACCTGTGCCCATATGGGATCCTGGTGTGTGCAAGCCAAGGACTTTAGCCACTAGGCTACAATGCCAGGCCCCAATCTTTATTGTTTTTAAAGCAGAGTTCAGTCAAGTTTAGAAATCTGGACCAAATTTATGCAAATATAGTGCTAGATGGTTTTTGTTGAATTATTACCACCTGTTCATGTTGCAGACATTGGGTTCTGAAGTCAGTGCTTGCCAGCTGTGGGTCTGTGATAGATGCGAGTGTAGCTGAGGGATTAAAGGCTGTGGAAGGGGCCACATGGGGGGCCGGCCTGGGTCAGCAGGGTCGGCAGTGGGAGCTGGAAGGGTCCTGGGCAGCGAATGCCTCCCCTGAGGGCCCAGAGCCTGGGCGGGGCAGGGACTGTGCCCTGGGCAGTGGCATCCCTAACGTGTTGTCCCCGGCAGAGAGGTCCTGCTGCCCGTGTTTGAAAGGAAGGGCCTGGCACTGGGCAAGGTGGACATCTACCTGGACCAGTCCAACACACCACTGTCCCTTACCTTCGAGGCCTACCGGTTCGGAGGACACTACCTACGGGTCAGAGGTGAGCAGCAGCCGGCTGCCAGAGCCTCCTGGGGATGGGAGCCCTTCCCCCAGGCTCGGGTTCCTACCTAGCAAACTCATTATCATACAGGTGTCTGTGCTGAGCGCTGATGGCAGGACTGGCAGGGCGGGGCTGCAGGGCGGAGGTGGAGGTGGGGGAGGGCAGCTTGGCTCTCCCAGCAGAGCACACTGGGGCCCCCCTACTACCCCAGGCCCAGGCGCTAAAGGCCTCTTGTTGTCCCCCCCCAAACACTGCCCCAGCCAAGCCAGGGGACGAGGGGAAGGTGGAACAGGGCATGAAGGACCCCAAGTGCCTGAGCCTGCCCAGCCTGCGGCCCGCACGGGAACGTGTGGACCCCCAGGGCCGCCGGGAGAGCCTGGACATCCTGGTAAGGAGGAGGAGGGGCCACAGGGGCTGGCCTGGGGGAGGTACCCCTGCCCCCAGGGATTCCTCACTGTGTCCCCAGGGGCTCGCTGTGCATGGCTTAGTCTGCCAGCAAGCACGCATGCATGCTGAGTGCCATGGGGTATGTGTGGCTAGGGAACTTGGGGTGAGGGGCGTCCAGCGGTCACTGTCTCTGGACCTCACTGCTCTCAAGCCTGTCTCCCCCACGGATAGGGTGCAGGTGTGCAGGGACCCACGCCCACACCACGCTGGTCCGAGTCCTGGAGAAGCTGGGGGGGCACGGGCACTGAGGAATGCCTGGCTTTGACCGCCCCTTCCCTGGCCAGGCCCCTGGCCGCCGCCGGAAGAACATGTCGGAATTCCTGGGGGAGGCCAGCGTCCCCGGGCAGGAGCCCCTGCCAGCCTGCAGCTGCTCTCTGCCCAGCAACAGTGGGGGCAGCAGCGAGAGCTGGAAGAACCGGGCAGCCAGTCGCTTCAGCGGCTTCTTCAGCTCCGGCCCCAGCAGTGGCGCCGCCCTGGGCCGGGTACGTGGTGCTGTGGGCCCTGGGTGGGGCAGCCAGGCTCGGGAGCCCCGGGCACTGAGTGTGGACTCCCTGCAGGAGGTAGACAAGATGGAGCAGCTGGAGGGCAAGCTGCATGCCTACAGCGTCTTTGGGCTGCCCCGGCTGCCGCGGAGGCTGCACTTTGACCACGACTCCTGGGAGGAGGACGAGGAGGAAGAGGCAGATGAGCAGGAGGCCTCCTGCCTGCGGCTGGAGGACAGCTGGCGGGAACTCATTGATGGGCACGAGGTGGGTGTGCCCGCAGCCGTCCGGGGACCCCTGAGAGCCTGCTGTCACTGGCCCAGCCCAGGGAAGCTGAGAGCTCCCTCTCCCGCTGGCTCACCCCGGAACGCCTGCCAGCATCCTGGGCTGAGCCAGGCTGAGCTGGGCACTGGGGACCCCAGGCTACCACGCAGGCATCCTGGGCTGCCACACCACCCGCCCAGCCCTGCCTGGCTGCACCAGGCAGGCGAAGGCCTGCGACTTAGGTGGCGAATGGTGATGGTGACAGGGAGGGCAGCCTGTGTCCCTGTTAAGGAAGTGAGCCAAGCCCGGTGCCACGCAGGCTGGCGCCTGGGTGACCCATCCTTCCCTCCGCCCTCTTCTCTCCAGAAGCTGACGCGGAGGCAGTGCCACCAGCAGGAGGCGGTGTGGGAGCTTCTGCACACGGAGGCCTCCTACATCCGCAAGCTGCGAGTCATCACCAACGTGAGTGTGGTGCACCTGCCCGGCACGTGATCCCTTTCTGGGTGGTTCCTCCCTGCGTGCTGACCTCGCAGAGGGCCCAGGAGCCTGCCAGCGAGGGGACGAGGGCAGAGGAGGGCTGCCTCCCACAGGTGCCTGGTGGGTGGGGGGTGGAGCCACAGCCCAGGTGTCTGAAGTGGCACGTGTGGGGTGTCCCATAGCTGCGGTAGACCTGGTGCGCGGCTCCCCACACCCTGCGGGAGACCAAGTGGGTGGACCCGGTAGGGGTGTTCACGGGGCTGGGAGGCTCAGGGAAGGCGTCTGAGGAGGGGCTTGGAGGCCAAACTAGGGGCGAGGTGGCATCCAGGAGGGATGCCAGGAGCATTCCAGAAGGGGCAGGCAGACCTGGCTCCCAGAGAGCCCCTCCGGGTCACCCCAGGCAGGTGACTGGCCTCCCAGGTATGAAGGCCTCAAAGAAGGGGGCAGGGCGAGGCTTCCCCCACAGCCGCACCCCTTGCCCCTACAGCTGTTCCTGTGCTGCCTGCTGAACCTGCAAGAGTCGGGGCTGCTGTGCGAGGTGCGATGGGGTTGGGGGGTGCCCGCGAGGGGGGCAGCGGCGGGGGCTGGGGGAGCCGGGCCGACCGCTCCTGCCCGCCCACAGGTGGAGGCTGTGCGCCTTTTCAGCAACATCCCCGAGATCGCGCGGCTGCATGGGGGGCTGTGGGGCAGCGTGATGGCGCCCGTGCTGGAGAAGGCGCGGCGCACGCGGGCGCCACTGCAGCCGGCAGACTTCCTCAAAGGCTTCAGGATGGTACGCGCGGGGCCGAGTGGGGCTGGGGCTCCCGCGCGCGTGTCCCCGGAGACCCCACGCGACCCCCTAGTGGCCAAGAGCCGCTCCCCCGCCAGGCACGAGCCCTACCTGCCCCGGTAGCGTTCGTGCAGGCTTGGGTGCCGGTCCCGGGGTGGTCACAAGCGCAGGCAGTAACCAGCAGCCTTTGTGCCCCAACCCCGGCCAGTTCGGCTCCCTCTTTAAGCCCTACATTCGCTACTGCATGGAGGAGGAGGGCTGCATGGAGTACATGCGCGGCCTGTTGCGGGACAACGACCTCTTCCGCGCCTACGTCACGGTGAGGGGCACGGAGCCGCGTCGGGGTGGCACCTTGGGTTGGGCGCGCGGCTGGGGTCCAACCTGACCTCCGCCCCTCGTCGCAGTGGGCGGAGAAACACGAGCAGTGCCAGCGGCTGAAGCTGAGCGACATGCTGGCCAAGCCGCACCAGCGCCTCACCAAGTACCCGCTGTTGCTCAAGTCGGTACTGCGGAAGACCGACGAGCCGCGCGCCAGGGAGGCTGTGGCCACCATGGTAAGCCGAGTGCCCCGGCGGGGCTGGGAGCGTGTGGAAGGAGGGAGCCCCCGCCACTCCCCGCCCACCTGCCGTACCCCCCAGATCGGTTCCGTGGAGCGCTTCATCCACCACGTGAACACGTGCATGCGACAGCGCCAGGAGAGGCAGCGGCTGGCTGCGGTCGTGAGCCGCATCGACGCCTACGAGGTGGTGGAGGGCAGCAACGACGAGGTGGACAAGGTGCTGGTCCAGCCTGGCACGCGGTGGGCAGGGGCAGCTGCGTCCTGGAGTCTAGTCTGACCCTTCCCCCCTCCTCTGCCTTGTCCAGCTCCTGAAGGAATTTCTGCATCTGGACTTGACGGCACCCATCGTGGGCGCCTCCCCAGAGGAGACCCGGCAGCTACTGCTGGAGGGCAGCCTGAGAATGAAGGAGGGCAAAGACAGCAAGGTGGCACCAGGGCTGCGCTCATCCTGTGCCCACACCCCGCCCACACCCCGCCCTCACTGTGTGCCCAGTCCCCTGCCCACACCCCACGTCCTCACCCTGTGCCCACACCCCACGTGCACTCCCCTGCCCACACCCTGTGCCCATACCCCATGTCCACACCGTGTGCCCACACCCCACCCTGCATCCACACCCCACCCCCACCACCTCTGTACCGTGTCTCCCAGGGGGTACTTCTTGGGCTCCAGAGAATGGCTCTTCATGTCCACTCCATCCAGTAGTGGACCAAGTGACGCGTGGAGGCAGGGAGGGGTGCCCCTGCAGGTCCCTCTGTGGATGCAGGGTCTGGAGGGGGTGCATGTCCCGTCCCCTGCTGCCCTGTTGCCGCCCCTTCTGGGCCTGGGTGGCCAAGCACCTGTCAGCAATGGCTTACTAAGTTTTGCTCGTCTAGCTTGTGCTTAGCCTGAGATCAGACGTAGGCATGTGTCTCAGTGAAGGCCGCGGGGCAGGGGCGTGCTTGCGGGGGCCGGGGGCCTCCCGGCAGCCCCAGGACCCTGGCCTGACCTGCTCCCCTGGGCCGGGCAGATGGACGTGTACTGCTTCCTCTTCACGGATCTGCTCCTGGTGACCAAGGCCGTGAGGAAGGCCGAGAGGACCAGGGTCATCAGGCCGCCGCTGCTGGTGGACAAGCTTGTGTGCCGGGAGCTGCGGGACCCCGGTGAGGCCCCTGGGCAAGGGCAGAGTACCAGGGCCATGACTCTAGCTGACGCCCACGCTGACGCGGGCCTTCCCTGCACAGGCGCCTTCCTTCTGATCCACCTGAATGAGCTCCGCAGTGCCGTGGGGGCCTACACGTTCCAGGCTAGCGGCCAGGCCTTGTGCCGGGGCTGGGTGGAGGCCATTTACAACGCCCAGGTTTGACCGAGGCGGAGGGGGTGCGGGCAGAGGTGGGGGGTGTCAGCTTGGTCACATGGCTCATTCTGCCCCGGGGCACCGCCACTCCTTCCTGCAGAACCAGCTGCAGCAACTGCGTGCCCAGGAGCAGCCAGGCAGCCAGCAGCAGCTGCAGAGCCTGGAAGAGGAGGTGGAAGAGCCGGAGGAGGAGGAGGAGGGCAGCACCTCAGCTGCCAGCTCCCCCACCATCCTGCGCAGAAGCAGCAGTAGCCTCGACTCCCAGCACGGGTACGTAGCTTGCAGACCCCACCTTGGGGTCGGCCAGAGCTCAGCGCAGGGCTGCTGGCTCCGAGGCTGTTGATGCCAGCCATGACACCCAGTCAGGTCCTGTCCCTCTGAGTGGTCTCACTGCGAGCCCAGCAGAAGCAGGGGGGGGCCTTGTCTCCCACCAGGGTCCCGGCAAGGAGAGCAGGTCACCCACACCGAGACCGGCTCTGAGCCAGCCATGCTGGCTGCTGCGGATCCTGGGCCAGAGCCAGTTTTACCAAGAGGAAAGGGTCCATTCCTGACAAGACCCAAGGCCGGCCTGGAGTTCTCAGGGCTGCCCTGGCCTGTCTGACTCTTCTCCTGGCCCCGTAGTGTCTTGGATGGCTCCACAGAGACCCTGGCCACAGCTGCGGTGGGGCCTGGGGAGATGCTGTCTTCTCCCGAGTCGGACAACGGCCCCTTCAGCTCCCCATCAGATGAGACCTCGCTGGGCACCACTGCCTCATCCATCACGCCCACCAGCGAGCTGCTGCCCTTGGGCCCTGCCGACAGCCGCTCCTGCTCCATGGACTCTGCCTATGGCACCCTCTCCCCAACCTCCCTGCGGGACTTCATGGCCCCGGCCCCTGTGGTGGAGCCAGTGCCCCCAGCCCCAGTGCTACCGACCGCCCCTTCGCCCCCACCCTCGCCCCGCCTCCGCCGCCGTACCCCTGTCCAGTTGTTACCCTGTCCGCCCCACCTGCTCAAGTCCAAATCCGAGGCGAGTCTCCTGCAGTTGTTGTCAGGGGCTGCTGACCAGGGGGCGCCCCTGGGCCCCAGTCGCAGTGTATCAGAGCTCTGCCTGGGGGCTGCCGCGCCTCCCTGCAGGACCGGGGGTTCCTCTCAGGAAGTTGGGCCCAGCTGGGTTTGCCAAGGAGCTCCTGGCTCTGACAGTATCTTCAAGCCCTCGGAGGAGGCCGAGGACAGAGGCGGCCAGCTGACTGGGGAGCCCGCGGGGTCAGCCGGGAGGAGCTCCCGGGAGCCCTCGGGGACCGCTTCTGTTGTGCAGCCCTCACCAGGGATCTCCACCCAGCACAGGAAGCTGACATTGGCCCAACTCTACCGAATCAGGACCACTCTGCTCCTTAACTCCACGCTCACTGCCTCGTGAGTGGCCTGACCTGGGGGCATGGTGACCACTGGGAATGTGGCAGGACCCTCCTCGGAACGGCCATCCAAGGAGGGACCCTCTCTCCCCTCTTCCCCACCCCGCAGGGAGGTGTGAGTGGAGGAGGACTGACCCAAGGGTGCGGTGACCAGGGCACAGCAGGCTGTACGCCTCCCGGAGAGTGCCGGCACCTGCCTCAGCTGCCTCGTGTGCGTGGAGTGCTGGCAGGACCCCTGCCCACCGCCCTGCGGCCTGACTTGCACTTTGCTGGACTGGTTGGCGTGGGGGAGGCCCAGGCTGCAGTACCACCCACCACAGGCTGCCCCCAGCTTCCATCTGGCTTGGATTGCCAGGCTGCCCCCCCTCGTCAGCCCGTCCGTGGCCTCCCAGCCGGGGCCAGCCCCCTGCCCTTGCCCGGCCCCAGCCCTGGGCTGGGCTTTGTGGAAAGCTGCCTATTTATTAAGCTTTGCTTCTTTTATAAAGACTTGTTATCTGCTCCATGGGAGAGTGCTTCCGGTCCGGTTCCTGCTCCCCCTTCTGTGACCCATGCTCCTCCCTCTGCTGGGGGGGCAACCCCAGTTCCTGTGACCCGCACCCCTCCCTCTGCTGTGGAGGACTGTGGTGAAGTGAGGAAGGCTTGCAGACCAACACCCCTAACGGGGCTCCTTCCTGCCCTCACTGCTGGGCGCCCCACTCTGCAGTTCTCGTGGGTTCCGTGGGGACCTGGCCAGGGCCCCTGGGAACTTATGCTAGGGTGGGCGACTTGAGGTCACTCCCAAGGGGGCTGCCTTGAATGCCTTCCCCTGATCCTCCCCCACCCCCGTGTGCTCTGCAGAATGCGGGGGGGGGGCTCCCATGCCCCAGGCCCTCCTTGGTTCCTTTTGGAGGGGGTCACTGGTCACAGCCCCACTTCCTGTGGGCTCCTCTTTGCAGCAGACAGGGTAATCTGTTGTGAGTGTGTGGGGTTCCAGTCCCCGCAGGGCAGGGCAGCTCGCCCTAGCCGCCACCCCCGAGGCGGGCTTGTCTGTGGCATGGGGGCGGGCCCTGCGGCACTGGGTTGTACGCGGAACCTGCCGGGGGCTGAGTGGCGGGAAGGCCCCAGCTGCACACGCTGGGCAGAGGGCCCCAGGTACCAGCGGCCATGAGACCGCAGCCTGGGGGCCATGCGGTAGGGGAGGCTGCGGTGAGTCCAGGTGCAGTAGATGGTCTTGAACTCCAGCCGGGGTCGCCAGTGACTCCCTGGGTCTCTGAGGCTCAGCTGGGGCCCCAACTCCCGAGGAACTGGCTCTGGCAGAGCTGAGCCCTTCAGCCAACTAGAGGCAGTGCCCTCCAGGGTCTGGGGGGCCTCCGGGAGGAAAAGCCTCTGTGTGCCCTTCCTCCCAGAAAGTGGGGGTGCAGGTGGACTCCCTGAGTCCTGCTGGGATGAAAAGGAAAGGTGTGGAAAGGGCTGGCAGGAGCCCTCTCCTGGGGAAGGAAGTGGGTCCCTCACTCTCACCGGGGAACCCCAACAGTCAGGAGTTGGCAACGCCCATCCCCCAGGCGTTCCTCCTGCTGCTGCTGGGTGTTGGGGTGTGCGGACACACTGCTGGCTCAACATGTGACTGCGCCCCAGACTTCCACAGGAGGAACAGCCCGCTCTGCTGCCGGGGCTGTCCAGCAGGTGAGTGCGGGGCGGGGGTCGGGGGAGGGAGATGGTGGGGGTGGAGGGAAGCTGGCAGGGAAGCTGAGAGCCCTGGAGAGGGAGGGAGGGGAAGGGGGGGTGGCAGCCATTGATGGCCCCCACTTTGTCTGGGTCCCCCAGGGTACTATCTGAAGGCCCCCTGCACAGAGCCTTGCGGCAACTCCACCTGCCTGCCCTGCCCCCTGGGCACCTTCTTGGCCCGAGAGAACTACAGGACTCAGTGTAGCCGCTGCCAGGCCTGTGACGAGCAAGGTGAGGGCTTGCCCAGCTCCCTGGGGACTCCCCAGGGCAGGCCATGGCCAGGGTCTCTTTGAAGGAGGAGGCTGGCGTGGGGCAGCTTGGGGGAGTAGGGCAGTGCCCACCCTGCCGTGGTGCCACCACCCGCCTTCCTTCTAGGGGAGCTTTGTGCCTACCTTCTTCCTGGCACATTTCCTCTCTCCACGTGCTCCAGCTGCCAGGCTGCAGTCCCTGTCCACTTTTCTCTGGCCTGTGTCCCCATGTCAGTTTCTGGTGGGGGGCATCTCTGGTGCTAACCATGTCTGCACTCCCCTCTCTGCACGCCTGCCAGCCTCCCAGGTGGCCCTGAAGAACTGCTCGGCGGTGGCAGACACCCACTGCGGCTGTGAGCCGGGCTGGTTTCCCGAGTGTCTCTTCGTCCACTGTGGGGACAGTTCGCCTTTCAAATGCAGCCCCTGCGTGGACTGTGGCGCCCTGCACCGCCACACACGGCTGCGCTGTGAGTGCCCCTGGCCTGGGCTCTGGGCCCTCAGACGCCTTCTTCCCACCTGCCCCTCCTTTGCCATCCTGACCAGGCCTTCTCCTGGACTGTAGGTTCCAACACAGACGCCGTCTGTGGCACCTGCCTGCCTGGGTTCTATGAACGTGGCGATGACTGCGTGCCCTGCCCCACGTAACTTCCTGGGTGCCCCAGGCTGGGGTGGGGGTGGGGAGGCTGGGAGTAGGCAGGGGGCCCTCAAGGCACAAGCGGGAGGCAGTCGGGGGGGTTGGCTGGGCCCCACATTGGGCAAGTGTAGAACAGGAAGGGGAACTCTGAATCTTCGGAGAAATAGTGGGTCACTTTCTCATCTTCTCGTGGAATTTCCCTGGGAGCCTGGCAGGCCTGGGGTAGGCACAGATTTGTCATTTACGGTCACACCGACGACTGGAGCTGTGGCAGGTGTCCCAGGGCTGTCTCTTGGGCAGGTTCAGAATTTTGACCTGACCTGCCATGCTCCAGGGGAGGGTTACAGGTTCTTTGTGGGGCGCTGTGGGGTAAGGTCCTTGATTTCATTACCCACTCCCCAAGACTGCATGCACCTGCCCTTTCAAGCCTGCTGATCCCCCATTCCCCAGGCACGCCCAGCGTGCTGAGGCTACTACAGGGAACCTTGTCCCTGTCCAGCAGGCTTTCTGCTGGCCCTGTGTCTCACCCGTGAGCATTCAGTAGATAGGAACTGCTGTGGCTAGGGGACACCACTGACATTGCCACAGTGCCCTGGGGACACTCCTTGCCTCACTGGCCAGGGGTGGGAGGGGCCCCTTCCAGAATGGTGACTGTGCCTGCCCGAGTGTGCTCCGTCGGTCTCTTAGCCCATCGTCCCTTGCAGGAGCACCCTGGGCAGCTGTCCCGAGCCATGCACTGCTGTCTGTGGCTGGAGACAAAGTAGGTGATATCCCTAAGAATGCAAGCTGGGGTGTGCCAAGGGGAGGCTAGGGGTCAGCACCCCTGGAACCCACCAGCTGTTCCCTTCAGTGTTTTGGGTTCAGGTGCTCCTGGCTGGCCTGGGGATTCCACTCCTGCTTGGAGCCACCCTGACCTACACATCCCAGCGCTGCCGGCCTCGCAAGCGCATGGCCCGAGGTGAGTGAATGCATGCGTCAGACCAGGGCCTGGGGCCGGGATGAGCAACCCAGAGTGCCTCACCCTGACCTGCAAGAGGAAAGCGTGGTGGGGTCTGTGGGGTGCAGGGGGACCCCAGGGAACTGGGTCAGCCTCCAGGTCTGGGTGCCTTGCCCACTTGCTGACAGATGACGTCTGTCTGTTGGCAGGTGGAGCTGAGACCGAGGCCCTGACCCCACCACAGGTAAGTCTCACCTGGGGTTGCCAGTAGAGTGAATGGGACCTGTGCCACCCGCTGGAACTCAGTGAGTGATGTGTGGTCCTCACCATTTGGCACCGTGAGTGGCACAGGACAGACCTCATGTGCAAACATGCCAAGAGCCAAGCCAGGGGCAAGCAGAGCTAACCCCAGGCCGCTGTTGGCTTGCAGGCTGCCCACCACCTCTCACCCTCACCAAGTGCCCACAACCTTCTGGTGTCTGCTGGTGGTGGCGGGGCAGTCTGCACTGTCCAGTTGGTGGGCAACAGCTCCCCCCAATCCCAGGAGGGCCCCCACTCACAGGTGGCATGGTCCTGGGACCAGCTGCCCAACCGAGCTCTAGGTAAGCAACGCCCCTGGCCTTGGTCTCCTAGTCCAAGGTGGGAGGTTGTGCGGAAGGAGGCCTGGTCCCCACCTCCTCGCCACCGTCCCTCCCACTCCACAGACCCTGCTCTGGAGCCCCCGCCCTTGCCAGCACCTCCTGCAGGCTCGCCCGCGGCCGTGCTCCAGCCGGGGCCGCAGCTCTATGACGTGATGGACGCGGTCCCTGCGCGGCGCTGGAAGGAGTTCGTGCGCACTTTGGGGCTGCGCGAGGCGGAGATCGAAGCGGTGGAGGTGGAGATCAGCCGCTTCCGTGACCAGCAGTACGAGATGCTGAAGCGCTGGCGCCAGCAGCAACCCGCGGGCCTGGGCGCCGTCTACGCGGCCCTGGAGCGCATGGGGCTGGACGGCTGTGCCGAGGACCTGCGCAGCCGCCTGCAGCGTGGCGCGTGACGTGTGGTGCTGGGGCCGCCCTGGCGCTCTGGCGGTCCCTGCAGAAGCCCTAAGTATGGTTACTTATTCATGTAGACATTTTATGTCACTTAGTAAGCCCCGCCCGGCACTGCGTAGCAAGCGCCTGCCGGCCTAGCACTGTTTGTCCCAGGGCTGCTCCCCTTAAGGTGCAGGCAGGCAAGGGAGTATGCGGGGGGCTGCGTTATCCCAGAGCCATTTCTCAGCCCGGGCTTGTGGGGGTAACTCGGTATTAAACCTACGAAGAAGACTGACTTACTGGTGTTTGCGGGCCCGGGATTGGATTTTGAGGGGAGGACGCCGAGAGACTGCCACTCCAGGACCCTGGGACCAGTGCCCCACACAGTGCAGACCAGGGTGGCCTGGGGCACCTAGAACCTTCGTGTGTCTCCAGCGGCCCAGTGACCCCGGGAACAGAGAAAGTCTCGGCGCTGCCAGTGAATAAGAGCGAAACTGGGCACCAGGCGACTGAGCGAGCTTTAATGGGGGTGGGGAGCGAGGGGCGGCGGGGCGGCACTGGCGGCAGGCCCCCTGCCCCTCCACTCGCTCCACCAGGGTAGCGAAAGGGCTCTGAGAGCGCGAGGGGGCCTGGCTGGGGCCGCGGCACAGACTTAGGCGGAGCGGGGTCGGGGCGCAGGGGCGGCCCCACGACGGGGCCGCTTTCATCTTTTTCTGGTAAACAAATGACTGGGCGGAAACCCTGGGCGGCGACAGGGCCGGCGCAGATCTGGGTCAGGGACGCAGGAAAGCCCCTTGCCCGAGCTCCGGGGCTGCCTCCGCCCAGGATGCGCCAGCGCCGCGGGCTCCCGGGCGCAAACGGCCGCACCAAGAGTCGCCGCCCACGGGCCCCGGGGGAGCGTGGCGCACCCCGATGGCGGCCCCCCGACATGCAAATGTGCTTGAGGCGGCAGGCGAGCGCGCAGCAGCTCTGCGTCAGCAGCGGGAGCGGGGCCGGGGATGCGGGAGGCAAGATGGGGCCGGGGAGGGGTTCCGGCGCGGAAGGTGGGGGCCGCGCGACGCCCTGCCCTTCCGCCCAGGCCCTGCAGCCCCGGGCCAGGGCCGGGGCTGGGGGCTGGCGGGGGTAGAGGAGGGTCCCCGGCACCCCGAGCGCGCGAGGCTGCGAGCGGGAGGCCGCGACCGCTGCTACTTGGAGATGTCGCCCTTTTTGAGGATGACCTGGCGCTGCCAGGGCGCTAGCTTGGTCTCGTCGTAGCCCAGCGTCCGCAGCTTCTCGGACTGCTCCCGCTCCCGCCGGATCTCCTCTTGCTTCTGTCGCTCTTCCTCTTTTCTGGGGAGGGGTGGAAGAGGTGGGGGGCCAGATACTGAGGTGGAGGGGGACAGGGGTGCAGGGCTCCTGAGGGCAGGGTCTGGGGCACGGAGGACAGAGTGGATAGTGCAGGATGACGCCATGCTTTGAGGCCAGGGCTGGCTTCCTAGAAACAGTTGCTGGCTAGTCCTGTGGCACTGTGAGCGGGAGGAAGGGTCACGGCGTGCAAGGGACCCTAAGAACAGGGCCAGGACCTGGGCTGCCGGGAAGCAGAGTTGGGTTTCTGGGGACCCAGTATCGAGGGGGCCAGGTCACTGGCAGGTAAGGACAGCCAGCAGACACGACACGCGGCCGCTGAGCCTGGGGAATGCTGGCACGTTCTGGAGGCGTCAAGTGCACCTTCGGTTTCTCAGGGGAGGATGTTACACACATTTAATTACCTTTCCACTGACTACCTGTTCAAATCATAGTTTTGGAAGACCGATTAAATTAAAATTAAGGTCACCTGTCTGTTTTTCTAATGTGAAATCTCATGTTATATGTGGGCTAGCCTCCCGGTAGGGGGAATGAAGTTTGGGGGAGAAACAGAATGAGGACGTGATCCTCTGGTGCGTGTTTGGCCTCTGGGTTACGGGAGGCGGGCAGTGGGGGACTGGGCGGATTAGGAGGACATGGTCAGAGCGCGGAGCTGGCCTCAGAGGACAGCCAGCTGCCGAGTTACCAGGAGACTGTTGAGATCAGCCAGGCCAGGTCACAGGAGAATATGCCTGGGCAACACAGGGCTGGGTGGCAGGGGTCAAAGACCGAGCCTGTGAGTGGGTGGGGTCCTGGGGTGGCAGCTCGGGGCCACGCCCCACACTTACCGCTTCTGCTCCCTGCAAGGGAACAAGACAGGGTTAGCTGGTGTCTTCGGATGCGGTTGAGAGTCTGCCGGTCCGGGGTCCGGCCTCCACCTTGGCCTGGGACTCACCTCTCCTCTTCCAGCTTCTTCCGCAGGAGTTCCCGCCTCCAGGCGGGCAGGCTGGCCAGCCGCGCCTCCTCCTCCTCTTCCTGAAACACAACCACAGAACTTGAGAGCCAGCACAGCTGGGGGCGATCAGGCCAAGATGGGGGCACCCCCAACCTGGGAGGCCCTGAGGAGCTGGGGCAACAGGTGCCAGGTCACACCCTCTCCCGTGGAGCTCCTGCCTCCCAGCAGCCTAGAGGTAGGGACAGAGGAGGAACAGGTGCACAGATGGCCAGGGCGCCTGGGGACACACAGACTCACCCTTCCCTGTCTGCTCCCTTCCCGCGGAAGTGGACATCAGCTCCACAAGAGAGGGGGGAGGCTCCACAAGACCCGGGGGGAGGCAGCATAGCACAAATAATTTATTGTTTGGATGTTACAGAGGAAGAAGACCTGTACACGCACACGGCACACGTGGCTGAGGTGCAGCTGCGCACTCCACTGAGAAGCCAGAGCAGCATGTCCACTGCCCTCTCTCAGATGGGCTGCAGCTGCCCGGCTCCACGCAGAGCTCGGCCAAGCCACTGGACCAGAGGTGGACGGCACACTCCACCAATACAGGCAGAGGCCCTGTGTTCTGCCAGCCAGGGGTGCCCTGAGGCTGCCTGCAGGTTTCCGGCCTCCGGGGCCCAGCCGAGAGGCATCCAGAGGCAAATCCCACGATGTAGCTTTCTCAGGTGTCAAACAGCTCTGCCTCCTTCTCCTTCCAGAAGGAGAAGCTGCGATCAATGTAACGGCAGATGTCCTCGTTACTGAACTCTCCCATCTCCGACACCAGCTCCAAGGGGTCTTCGGCAGGGGCTTCAGGACCACAAGGGCCTGGGGCAGGGGGAGGCTCGGCAGGCGGGGGCTGCGGCGTTGGGGCAGGGGCTTCGAGCTGCTCCTCTGCCTGCGCCTCCCTTGGAGCTGGGACTGCCTCTTCCAGGGGCTCCTTCTCCCCTGCACTTGCTTCATTTTTCTTCTCCTCTTCCTCCTCCTCCACCACCTCCTCCTCTCTCTCTCCTTCTCCTGTCCCCTCTTCTTTCTCCTCCTCCTCCTCCTCTTCCCCTGCTGGTTCAGCCTCTGGGCTGTCTCCAAAGAACTGACGCCTGAGGTCATCGAAGCCGTCGCTCCAGCCACGCTGGCCGGACTCCACCTCCTCCAGCACGGCCCGGTGGAAGAGACGGATGTGCTCCCACGGGTGGCTGCCCAGCCGATCAAACATCTCGTAGCATAGCAGGTGGCGGAATCGGCGCTCCTCGCGGCTCAGGCCCTGCTCGAGCAGCTGGAAGTAGCCGAGCATGAAGAGGTCCAGGGTGAGGCTGTCATAGCTCCGGGATGTGCCATCCTCCATGGGCGGCAGGAAGTGCTCAGGCCAGTACAGGCCCGGCCCCGGGCCTTGGCCAAGTGCTACCTGCGCGGGCACCTGCCGCAGCAGACTCTTCCAGCGGCCCAGCAGCTCGCCCACCACCTGCCGCTGCCTTAGCAGGTGCAGCAACCGCTGCTCGTCCGGAGCACACTGGGTGCCGCTGCCCGTCGGTGTCGGGGAAGTGCTCACACTGTCGGGGCTGGGGTTCAGGCCCAAGTCCGAGCCCGCGGCCACCACTCGGGGCAGAAGCCTTCGCAGGCGCGCCTGGGCGTGGCGGCCGGAGCCGCGAAAAGCCCACTTGCGCCAGTGCTCCAGGAAAAGATAGACGATGCGCTCTTTGCGCATGTCGATGTAGTCTTGGACTCCGCCGCTCAGCCTGGCGCCGAGCGACGGCCTGCGCGCCGGTGGCTCGGGCTCCGGCGGCGTCTCCTGGCGCTTGGGCGCCACGCACTGGTCCTCGCCGGCAGCCAAGAAGGCCTCCTCGCGGATGGGTTTGCAGTCAGGCTGGGAGAGCTTGCGGCGCGGGCGGGGCGTGGGCGCTGCGCCCTGGGCGCGCAGCTCGTAGGTGGCGCGGAGGTGCCGCACCGAGACACCGCACTCTAGGATCTCGCGCGCCACGGCCTCACGGCACCAGCTGAGCGAATGCGAACGGCCCAGGCAGAGCGGCCCTGGCTGCCAGGGCGCATCTGCCAGTGGCGCCAGCGGCTGGCCTGTGTCGGCAGTCAACAGGTCAGCCAGGTGCGCGGGCCGGCCGCCTAGCGAGGCCAGCAGCGTGGCCATGCTCTTGAGCAGCGTGGCGATCTTGCTGCACCAGGCGGGCAAGCTGGGGGCACGGCCGTGCATGCGGCGCGGGTCGACGGTGAAGCGCCGCGCCGACAAGGCGGCCGAGACCGGCAGCAGCTGTTCCAGCTCCAGCTCCAGCTGCTCCAGGTGCGCCTGCAGCCTGTGCGCCTTGTGCAGTACCTGCAGGTTGTCGATTTGCTGCTCGATGCGCAGGATGTCGGCCTCGGTCATGAGCTCGCCGAAGGGCCCGAGGATGCCGTTGTGCTCTCGGGAGTACCTCCAGCCCTCGGGCGGGTAGCAGCACGAGCTAGCAGCCGTCAGCTAAGGCGGGGAAGACAAGAGAGGGGGAGGCGCGTCGCCCTCTGGACCGGCTCCGAGCCGCCGCCGCTGCTGCTGCGAGACCCTTTGCATGTCCCGGGGGGTGTAATGAGTTCAGAAGGTTGCATCTGTCCTGGCCGGCGGGCGGGCCAGCTGCTATTGGAGCTACGCTTCGGCCCAGGCCCTGGGCGGTCGCTCCGGGCTCTAGTCAGTGTCCATTTGGTCGTTGATGGGGGTGGCGCACAGCTGGCAGTTGGCTGTGGCTGCTAAGGCAAGGAGGGTAGCCAGCAGACGGATCTCCACGCTGGACCTGGACCTCATTACACCACCCAAGGAATATGCAAAAGGCCTCGCGGCTGATGGGCAGGAGGTTGAATGCTGCCCCAGCCAAGGCCTGCCACTGGACACCACTGCAGGCCCCTTCTCTGGCTGCCCTGCGGCCCAAGCCCTCTTTGCATGTCCAGGTGTTGAGAGGCCCCTGGGCTGGACTGGGCTACTGCCAGCTCCCTTCCTTGGCTACTGGGCCAAAGCATTCGACTCGTGGGGCGCCCCACATGGACACACCCAGTTCCACTAGCTTGCCCATCACCGGGGCTGCTCTGCCCACTCATTGTTCGGGGTGTCCTGCAAGCCTTCCCCACACACAGACATGATGCTGCTGGCTGGCACTCTACTCTTGCCCTCCCCACCCCCGCCAACACTTGTTCGGGGAGAAAGTCCACTTTCTTCCAAGCAGCTAGGCAGGTTTGGGGAGGCCCCCCCGACACTGCTCCCCCCCACCCTAGTTCAGCCACATCTCATGCAGTTCCCGAGTTCTGCTCTGCACACAGTGTCCTGCCCACGGCCCCACACCTCTCCCTGCTCCAACCCACTGCGCTGAACCCCTCCCTGCTCCAGCCACCTCTCACTCACCTCAGCCTCGTTTAGGCGTTGCCCCCTCTGCCCTGACACCCCTTCCAGCCCAAGCAGGGCTCCCCCTGTTCCGGCCCTGGCGGCATTCTAACAGCTCTGGCCAACCCCTTCTGTCACAGCAAGTCCTGTTTGATCACCCGGGAGGCACTGACGTGTTGGCACACATGCACACAGACACACACACGGTGCCACCTGGAGAGCAGCCCTCAATGTATTCACCCGGGAACCCCACAGAGTACAGCGGCATGTGCAACACAGACACAAACACACAGAACCCAGGGCAAGTCATCCTCACAGCCAGTGACAGTTGGAGACGGAAGCTGGGAGAGGCTGAGGGTGAGCAGGGAGTGACAGCGAGGGTACTGGGCCTGGGAGCTCACTGCATCAATACCTCCCTGGAACCCCTTCCCACTCGGGGCGTCCTCAGACAGAGCACCAGCCCTCGGCTGCATCAGCCCTGCAGTGTCCACAAAGGGACTGGCTGAGGGGCACAAGGGACCAGCCCCACGAGGGCGGCGACCCTGCCTTTCTCCCCAGGGTAGCGGGTGCTGGCTCAGGGGACCAGGGGCCGCGGGCCTGGCCGTCTGGGAGACCCTGCCCCACCCACCTTCCGCCTCTGCTCCTCCTCCTCCTGCATCTTCTGCTGCAGCTTGCGTACCATCACCTGGCGCTTCCACTCAGGGATGGGCCGGCCCTGCTCATCGTGCGTGGGGATGACGGTCTCCACGTCCAGCTGCACGCCCGGGGCGGGGGTGGCTGGTGGTGCGGGCACCATGCTGCCGTTCAGCAGTGGCTGCGGCCCCGTGGCTGGTGGGGTGGGACTCCGAGCCCGTGATGGCGCAGGCGACACAGGTGGTGGCAGTGGTGGCGAGTCGGTCTATGGGGAGAAGAAATGGGCCTGAGTGCGGGACAGGCTGAGGCGGGTAGGGCGGGGAACGGGGCGGGTGGGGCGCCTACCTGAAAACCCGGCTGCCCACTGCCTGAGAACACCGTGGTCAGCCCCTTGCTTTGCGGCGTCGGCTTCAGGCTCTTGCCCGCCTTGATCTCGGCCAGGAGCTCCGAGTTGTCGCCCGTCGGAGACATCATGTTGAAAGACTTAGTGCCTGTGTGGAAGCAGAAGAGAGGGCGCTGGCCAGGCGTGGGGCAGGGTTCCTGCACTACTCCTTTCCCGTATCCCCTGCTTTCTGCCCAGTGCCCCTGCCAAGCCAGGAAGGACAGAGCCCTCCCTGGGGCCCAGGACAAGTCTTGTGAAGCCAGAGTCCCTCGGAGTGCTTTTTTTGGGGTCCCCAGAGGTGGGTCGTTGGCTCCTGGCCCAAGGCAGCACCAGCCCTACTCACGGGGTGTCTGGCCCCCACCAGGAGGCCCTTGGCAGTCCATGGTGGCTCTCGGGCTGGCCGTGGGCACTCTGGCGTATGCCTCCACCCCACTGTTGACTGTCACTGGGTTCTGAAACACTACCTGTGGCCAGCCACTGACCTTTGTCCCGGCTTCCCGAGCTCAGCCCAGCCAGGGTGGAGTCTCCCGCTGGCCCTCTCCGCGCATCAGCGGAGCCCAATGACCCTTGGACCGGGCTGACTGGAGCCTCGGCAGCCATAGAAGCCATAGACCGGGAACCCGGAGGTGGTGACATCCAGCTTGCCTCCCTCCCACCCCACAGACAGACGCACAGTAGACACACGGATCGCAAGCAGAGCACACTTAGGGCAAAGCGCCTCTCAGCTCTGGGGGCTCCAGGAAAGAGAAGCAGTGTAAGGACACCGACAGGGGCTCCCAGGAAGAAGGGCCCTGACAGGTGGCATGCAAATGTTGGGGGCGGAGCTTGTATTTTCCAAAGCAGCTGGCAGAAGTGAAAGGGGATCTGGTGACTGAGAAAGGACCAGGTCAGGGGCAAAGGCACCAAACTGGCCAGTGGCTCTCCGGTGCCTAGCCTGCAGATCCCAGAGCCAGCCGAGGCAGGGAGAGCGGAGAGCTGTGCTGCCAGCCGGGCACAGAGCGCTGGGCCCCTCTGCCTGGCTCCCGGGCCTCCCTCCCTGCGCCGCAGCCTCAGCCAGGAGCCGCGCCTGTTACTCACTCTTCCTGTGTCTCAGGACTCTTACTTCTAAGGATGGAGAGGAGAGAAGGGACAGTGAAGTTAGGAGGGACAGGGGACAGGCGTGAGCCTGCCACGACAGGGAGGGTGGGGGGCAGTCAGCCAGAGGGCCTGGGAGGGAAGGGGGCCTGAGAGGAGGGGCTTCTCTGAGCCTGGCTCCACAAGGGAGGCGTGCCTACTTCCCACTGTGGCTGACCCCCTCAGGGGGCCCCTGCCTTGGCACTCTATTGGGCAAGGGCACCCAGCTCAGGCTGGGTGGGAGGGGGTGCCTGGGGAAGCCCAGTGTGTGTGCCCCTTGGACCCCGCTCTGGCCCTGGTACTGCACTGACCGCGTGCGTTCTGGGCTGCAGCTCAGAGAGGTGACGGAGGGGGTGGGTCCTGCGCGCTCCCCCCACCCCGCCAGTCCCTGGCCGGCACTCAGGCACTTGCTCCCAGAATCCCTGGTGGTGGATAGGGCACTATCCCATCCTGCAGGAAAAGAAGCTCATGTTGACAAGGTCAGGGGGTGCAGATGCCCAGGGGAGCACGGTGCCCCCTGGCCGCCTGGGGACAGGCTCAGGTCCCTGCTTGGCGGAAGGAGGGGGGGATGGAGAGAAACAGAGCCCAGGTGGGAGGAAGGCCGCCCAGCACCCTGGTCTCCTTGAAGCCAGTTCCCCATAGCTCTCCTGGGACACCTGCTCCCTGGAACACCAGAACAGGGGATGTGTGTGTGTGTGGTCGGCAGTCAGCTACACATCCCAGGCCCGCTGTCTGAGCCTTCCCTTAGGGTCCAGGGCTGGGCAAGGGGGCGGGAGGAAACCCAGAATTCAGCGGAAGAGGATGAGGGCCTATGCGCTGGGGACCAGTGTCCTGTTTCTCCCTCCCCTTCAGGGATGGCACCAACTCTACTCACTGCCTGTGGACGAGGAGGAGCGGCGCTGCCCGCAGCCCGGGCCCGCGCCCTCAAAGGGCAGAGGCGGGGCAGGCGGCGGCGAGCTCAGGGCCTCGGGCAGGGGCGGCGGTGGCGGCGGTGGCGGCGGGAGCTCCCGCGAAGCCTTGGGGTCCGCAGCGCAGCCGTTGTGCACGTGGTCGCCGGGCAGCAACGCGGCCTGCGGGCGATCGGAGGGGCCGGCGAGTGAGGGGCGTGCGGCGGGCCCAGGTCCCGCGAGGCCGGCGGCTGCGGGCTGCCCGACCCGCACCTCGTCGCTGTGCGCCATGCCCGGGCGTGCGACCGGCGGCTCCCCGGGGCAGCGGCCCAGCTGGCGGTAGTAGTCCCCCGTGCTGGGCTGCTTGCTGAAGGCGCGAGGTTTGCGGCCGGAGTCCTGCCTCCGCAGTCCGTTTAGGCCGTCGCGGGAGCTGGGCTGCGGGAGACAGCGGGCCGGTGGGGCTCGGGCGCGGCCCCCGTGAGCCCCCCACGCCTCTTCTGTGTCTCCCTTCCGTGCCAACCTATCGGGTCAGTGGCGCGCAGCCGGCCGCCTTCGCAACCCCTCGCGTTCTAAGGACGGGGGTCAGCGGGGTACAGGGTGTGGGGGAACCTTGGAAGGGCAGGCTCGGCCAGCACTCGAGGGAGGGGTTCTGGGCGCGGGCCAAGGGGTACGGGGCCCCTGCTGAGGCTAGAGGGGGCGGGCCCGGGGGCGGGATGGCCCAGCCCAAACGCCAGGGGGAGCCGGAGAAGGGGCAGCCCAGGCAGGGCTGAGGCCCGGGCCGCACCCCGTCTTTCCTCCAGGCCCAGCCGAGCACTCCCCTGCGGGGGTCGCAGCCCGGAGGCAACCCTCCGGGGACCCAGTGCCCCGTCGGGGTTTGCGTCCGCCAGAGGCGAGAGGCGGCCGGGCGGCTCCTACCTGCGACTGTGCCGGTGGCCCCCCGTTGTGCACCTGGCAGCGGGGGCGGCAAGGACCGGGCACCTGCGTTACCTGATCCTTCCTCTCGGATTACAGCCCAGCCCGCGCCCGCCCACCCGCGCCTATCGGTTCAGCCGGCTTGACATCACCGGGGGTGCGCCAATCCCAGGGCGACCCCCACCCCCGGCGGTCCCTGATGCCACACCTGGCTGCCTGCCCCCAGGCCAGATGTGGCCCCACCTCCTGCGCGCCCGTCCTCGAGGTCAGGCCCGAGCAAACGCCCACGCTCCCACACAGCTCCCTCCTCCTGCCCCCGACTCGACCAGCACGGGGCTGGCGGGACCCCGACCCGCGGTGTAGCCCCTTACATCTGACCCGCAGCTATGGGTCACACCCCCGCCCTTCTCCTGCCGCATCTGGAATGCATCGCCGTCCGCGTAAGCGACACCAGCGCGGCCGCCCGAGCTTCGGATTTCAAGGGCGACGCGGAGGCTCGGGTGACAGTGCAGCGGCCCGCCCCGTCACGGCTGCCCCCCGCTACGGCCAGCGCGGGGACAGGGATGTGCGGCGGCTGCTGTGCGGCCAAAGGCCGGGTGGCCAGGCTGGAGCTGGCCGCTGTCTTACCCCCCGCCTCGCGCGTCCCCGCGGTGGCCTCAGACCCTCCGCGCACCCCGCCCCACCAGGCTCACGTTGCAGGAAACGCGACACCGCAGGATTTGTTTTCTGGGCCAGCCCGTCCCCTCTGCGCCCCCCGTAGCCCCCGGACGCCACGACCCTGCCCCTGCCCGCGGCTGGGCACCCCCGCGCGCGGGGGCGCAAGTGGGCACACAAAAGGCTCTTTGTGGAGTGGCCGGGAACCTGCGGTCCAGCACGCACACAGCCGGGAGGGGCGCGGGGCTCCGGGAGTGGGGAGGGGGTTTCCAGCAGGGCGCCGGTTCCCAGGGACTTTGGGCTGTGCTCGCTGCCTAACGCAGTGTCCAGGCCCCAGATCTCCTGGGCAGGTCCTACCTAGTCCCTTCCACCTCCCAAGATGAAGGGGGAGATCCGTGAGTCTAGGCTGGGGTGGAACCGCTTGGGGTGGGAAGGGAGGCTCAGCATCCCTCCCCCACTGCTTTACTCAGCTCCATCCTGTGGATTTACCCCAGGTTTGAGACAACATTAAGGTCAAGGGGCTGCCAACACGGCTCCTGGCTGCTGGCCTCTCAACCCCGCCTAGCCCTGTGCCCTCTGTGGCTAATATCCAGGGCCTCCTTGGGCCTCCCTGAGTGACCCAGACCAGGCCTCTGCCCAAGCAGCAGCTTGCAGGTCTTGGACAGCCTGGGGCACCCGGTGGAACTCTGCCCTGCCCCCAGTGGGTGGGGGACAGCAGCTTCCATAGCCACTGCACCTCAAGTCCAGTCAGGGTCTCTCTGCTCCTTCCTCCCAGCTGCCACAGCACCAGCCCCTCCCACCCGAGCCCCGGCCTGTGGCAGGTGCCACCACTCTGCACAGCAGGTGGCCCAGCCCCAGTTCCAGCCCTGGAGCCTGCTCCACCCAACAGTCTCCTCGGGGCAGTGTCTTTGTCATCTCTCGCCGTCCAGCCCTGATCCCTCAGAGACCAGCCAGAAACCGCACACACAAGGACACCTATCCTGTGCCCAGGAGCCCAGCCAGCCCCCCTCAGTGCAGCCCCACCACTAAGAGGGATGGGGGTGGGTGGACTTAGTACCTCCTTGAGACTGTCGGGCCCCACATGGCGCAGCTTGCTTTTGGTCTGCATGTATATGTCAGCCGCATGCAGCCCCACTGGAGGCTTGGGTGCCGGGTAGCCCGGTGGTGGGGGCGGGGGCAGCTGCGTGCCCGGGGGTGGCGGTGGTGGAGGAAAGCTCGGGGGAGGAGGTGGGGGTGGAGGTTTCCCCGTCTTGCCCCGAGGCAGGCCCAGCTCCGGGTTCAGCAGGTCCATGTAGCCCTGCATGTCGGCAGCTCCGGCACCAGGCAGTCCTGGGAAGGGAGAGGGAAGAGCTGGCCCGGGGGTGTGCAGTCACGCCGTCTCCCAGGGCCAAGGCCACCGCCTCCAGGTGCCTGCCAGCCAGGCAGAACCACGGTGTCACTCCATGTACCCTGTGGCAGCCCCTGACGGTGCTGGTCCATTCCTGGCCCTCCCACCTCCAGTCCCGCACTGGCTGAGGTGTGGACAGGAAGCACAGAGAGGGGGCTTTGGGCCCAGGGTGTGGCTGAAGGACAGAGACACCTGGGGCGGGGAGTGGTCCAGCCCAGGACGGCAGGTGCAGCGTGGACTGCCAGGCACCTCTGCCAGCCCTGCCGGCCACCCCCTGGTGGCGCAGAGCACGCACTGCCAGTGCACCAAGGACCATGCTCAGGGCGTGGTAGGCAGGTGGGTGCTTACCCGCCTGGCTGCTGCCAGGGCATCTGCTCGTGTTTGAGCCAGCTTTCTGTTTGTGCTGGGCCGCGGGCATGGTGCTTTTGTGTTTGTGTTTGCACAGCTGCAGCATGGTAATGCTGGGTGTAGCACGCAGGGGCATATCCCCGCACACAGCATGCACACACGAACACGTGTGAACTTTGAGCGTGAGGAGATGGGACATGAAGGTGTGTGGGGGCACGTGCTGTGTGTATGCCCACCCTAGCCCCTGTGTCTCACCAAAAGGCCAGCCCCTCCCAGGGTGGTCAGCCCACCCTGCCCCCTCTCCCTAGCCCACCCACTCACCAAGCAGAGGACGGCGACCCTTGATACTCGAATGGCCGGAGGAGCAGGAGTCGTAGTTGGAGAGGGTGCTGGCGGGCGAGCCCAGGTCGAAGTTCTGCGGCTGCGCTGACACGGTGGTGTTGGGCGAGGACATGCCCGAGTCGGGCTGCTTGGCCTCCAGCTCAGTGGACGGGTCCCGCGACAGCACACGGTGCTCCACGCTCTGCATGGTCAGGCAGCAGTGTGAGCCAGTCTGCGGGGCCTTCGCTGTGTGACTGCCCCCTGGCTTCCCCCGAGCCCCACCCCCAGCAGCTCTCCAGGAAACTCCGTCCCTCTGACTGGGAGGACAGGGCCTGGGGGCTGCTGCCGCTCCCCACCTTCCTTCCTCACCAAGAGGGCTTGGCCCCAGCACATCAGTGGGGAGCAACTGCAGGCCCCGTAGCTGCTGAGACCCCCATTATCTGGCTGCAAACCCCAGTGTCTCTGGGCTGGACCCGGGGCAGCCTCCCGTTGTGGGCCCAACTTGTCATGTGAAGGCCAGTGGGCAGAGGGCAGGGCCGGGATGGCCCAGCTGAACTGGGATGGGCGCCTGAACCCAGGCTGCTAAGTCTGCCCCCGCCCCCCGCTCGTGCCCACTGTGGGAGGGGGCCCTCCTTACATTGCCCATGCCGACCGTGCCGCTGTGGCTCTGCTGCCGCCTGCCCAGCCTGCTCCTCCCTGCCCCGTGCCCCTTCCCAGCCTGAGAAGTGTCACAGGCCCCCTGGGAGAGGGCGGCTGCCTGGTACCAGGTAACGGCTCGGCGGCCATGCTCATTGGCCCTGTAATTAGGGGCTCTGTGGGACTGTTTGCCTTTTCTGGGCCAGAATCCTCGGCGGCTCAGAGAGCCATCACTGCCACAGCTGGCACTGCCAGGCCCTGCTGTCTGCCCGAGGAGCCAAGGGGGCATCGAAGGAGCTGGCCAGGGCAGCCCACTCTTGAAACTGCGCTTGGTTTGATGGCAGCACTGTGCCCCCGGGCCCCTGGCCCTGAACACTGTGGGCACAGCCTGCAGAGGGAGGGGATGGGCTCTGCCACCTGCCCGACACCGATCTTCAGTCATGTCACTTTTGCCTGTCAGTGGGGCTGTCCTCCCAGTCCTCTCATCTGGGACAAAGAGTCAGTGACATGCCAGCAAGCACCATGGGTGCAAACCATCCCTCCCGCCGGGAGGGGGAACAAAGAATGCACATGCCCACCAGAACTCAGGGCGCTGGCTGCACTGGGGTGGGGGTGCTCCAGGACCCCTGGGACCTCCCCCACAGCTCAGCTGCAGTGGTCACACCTGCTCGCATAGCCCCCCACCCGGCCAGCGGGCTCACCCCATCTCACCCTCCCTCAGGCCAGGCCGTGGCAGCCTCACGTGCTGGCAGACCCGGCTGACGCACAGAGCATGGCTGGTGCTCAGGGCACAGGGCCGTCCTCCTCCTCTGCCCCCTCCCAAGGGGCCTCCTCCGCAGCCCCTCAGCGGCCAGGCCCCCCAGCACTGGTAGCTCCTCTGAAAGGATTCTGTGAGACCCAGCCCTCCCTCTGCCACTGTTCCGTGTCTGAGGCATATGGGCTCCCTGAAGGGAGGAGATGGGAATGGGAGAGGGTGGGGCGGGTGGCTGTGTGACTGTGGGTCCCCGAAGACCCCCATGTTATCCGCCTCACAGCAGTGAAGTGAGCTAACAGCTGTGGACAGGTGGACTGAGTCCCTGAGGTCTCCCAGCCCCCTCTCAGAGCCTACAGCCTCCTCATCTCCCTTCCCCCATCTCCCAGCCTCTGCTCCCCACCCCCACAGCGGGCAGCAGGTTCTCGGCCAATCAGCCACGCGGAGTACTGGTCAAAGACGCTGTGCATGGTGTCACCTTGGAACATAGGACTTCGGGTCCCTGGGCCTGCACTTCCTCCCAGGTCAAGGGGGTACCATCACCGGCCACCGGGAGTCCCAGCCGAGGCCGCCCGCGGCGTACCAGGTTCTCCACAGTGCGCAGGTAGCGAGTGCAGTGGCTGTGGCCATTGTAGTCGGACAGGTCGGCGGCCGTGTACCCGTCCCGGTCGCGCACGTGCAGCTCCGCGCCGTTCACCACCAGGATCTGGCAGCACTGCAAGGGGCGGGTGGTCAGGCATCCGGCAGAGGGCTCGTGCGCCCCGGCCCCCGACCCCTGCGCGCGCCCGGACCTCCAGTTCCCCGTTCTCCGCGGCGTCATGTAGCGGGGTCCCGCCCCACAGGTCAGCCGAGATCTCGCCACCGTGCAGCAGGAGCCAGCTGAGCACTTTGGCGTGGCCGCGGCTCGCCGCGAAGTGCATGGCCGTGGCGCCGTCTTTGTCCTGCTCCGACAGGCTCACATCGGTGCAGCTCACCTGGGCGGGAGAGCAGCGTGGGCTCGACGACAGCACCCCCCACGGGCCCGCCCCCGGGTCCCCCCAAATCCTTCCCCTTGCCACGGCTTACCAGCCACACGATGACCGGGCTGTGGCCCATCTGCGCGGCCGCGTGCAGTGGGGTCATGCCGTCGTGGGCGCGCACGTGCGGGTCCGCACCGCACTCCTGTACTAGGTACTGCGTCACCTCCAGGTGGCCCTCCTGGCACGCCAGGTACAGGGGCGTGGCACCGTTCTTGGTCTGGGCATTCACTCCCCTGCGGAAATGGTGGGTGGTCACCGAGCACCTGACCTCCACCCCACGGCCCTTCCGACCAGCCCACTCGGGGCAGACCCCTGCTCCGCCAGGACTGTCCTAATTCCACCTTCGGAACAGAACTTGTCTCTGCCCTGCTCCGCCCTGTGCCCACGCCGTTTGCCAGGCTTGGCTGACCCTCAGGGTGAGCCGCAGGACACGCACTTGAGCACCCTCTGCTACCGTCCAGCATGCACTAACAAGAGGGGCAGGGGCTTAATCCACAGTGCTACCAGGCCTGCCTTCCCCCCTCCCACAGGCTCTTCAAAGTCCTATTGTCACATCCCCTTTAGCTAAAAGTCACACCGCTGGCTGGGATGCGCCTTATGGGACATGGCTGGCTGTGTGATGACGCAGGCCCTGGGAGGGGGGAGGGGGTGTGGGACCAGTGCCACAGGGGCTCCCCTCACGGTCCGGATCTCCTGTACTGCGTCTCACTCTTGCTCCCCCAGCCCAGAGGGCTCCTAAAACCGGGACTGCAAAGCTGGCCTGGCTCCCTGTGCAGAATCTTAAGGACGGCGCAGGGTGCAGTTACCACAGGGGGCACTAGGCGGCGCCCCTGCCACTTCCCCCTCCCCCCACGATGCCCAGGTGTGTCCACCCAAGTCCACCAGCTTAGGTCAAGGTGGGGGCTGTGCACCCTCCAGCTCAGGTCAGCCCTCTGTGCCCCAGGAACGGTTTCGTCCCTCCATCTGCCTCCTGCCCTCTACCCAACAATGCGTGACAGGCTCCACCCCCACCCGTCAAAGCCTTCACTCACTCAGTCTAGCCGCTGGCCTCAGGTCTGCCCATCAGCACCCACATCACGCCACGCCTCCCCTTCCATCTGCCCACGCACCCTCTTGTCCCAGCATGTAACATATTTCCCAGAAGCCCAGGTTCTCCATCCACTGTCCCCCTCTCCTCAAGCCACCCCCTGGCTGCCCCATCTTGCTTTCCACATGGACGGTCCTCTTCCCAGGGGCCCTGGACGAGCGTGTTGCATTGGCGTGGGAGGTGCAGGGGCGGGCCTGGTTGCCTCCTGGACACCCCAGGGTGGCCAGCAAGCGGGGCCCGCCCACATGGCTAGGAGCCCAGCCCTGTGTCACCCAGCGCCCCCACACGGGGGCCCGCTGGCGTGGCAGGAATTGCCTGCTGAATATTTCATGGGCGACACTTAGCCTGTTGCCGAGGCTCAGCGGGCGCTGAGCTCCTGGGAGCAGAGGCCAGAGGGGCCTGCTCCCACGGGCCCCCCGAGTTCTCTCTGGGGGTTCAATGCTGTACACAAACTCAGCCAAATCCCCCCAGCCCCCAGCCCACCTCCCCACTGTGCTCCTTCCTGCTTGACCAGTCTGCTGGGGCCCCGGAATGGTCACTCTGTCCCTGTGGGTCACACCTCCAGAGCCCCAGGCCTGGCACACCCCTGGCACAGGACACGTCCCCGCTGTGCCCTCTGCTGGGCTGGCGGGGGGGTTCCAGCCCTGCCAAGCGCAGCTCCTGATAGGACAGGGTGGCAGGGGAGACCCCAGTCCTCCAGACCCCCGCCCAGCTCTAGCCCGAGCTCTCACACCCAGTATAACATGTGAGGGGGACCAAGCCTGCCCAGGCAGGGTCTTAGCAGGAGCCCCCAAGTTCTGCCTCTTTGCTCGGCAAAGGGGGTGGCCACTGCCTGGCCCCTCCCCAGCCGAGGGAGGGGGCGAGCCTGGTGCCTTGGAGCAGCTCCCCATCCCAGCTCTCAAGCGGTCTCCCTGTGTCCCCACCCGCAGGCATCTCTGGCCACAGCCACCCCAACTTCCCCACCAGGTGTCCCACCCTCGTTCTCTGACCTTCACCGTCCTCACTGGCCAGGCACTTCGGTCCCTTGACCTCCTACGTAGGTGTGCCGCAGGGCGCTACCTCCCTTCTGATGGCACCTGCCTGGCGAGGCGGCCTCGAGGCCCTGCCTGGGACCATCTGTGCCCCATAGCTGCTCAGCTCTGCAGCTTGGGGCCGGCTTCACCCCCCAGCCCCCTGTGGGTGAAGCAGATCTCACATCTCCGTGCCCACACTCCTCCCTGAGGCACCTGTCGCCCGAGCCCCCTCTTAGATCTGAGGCTCCAACCAGGACTCGGTCTCCCTCGAGGAAAAGGCATGATAAGGACCAACTGTAACTAGTAACTTAGACCCAAGGAACAGGGAGGGGCTGCTGCTGCGGCGTAACGCGTAGTGCCACCTCCCGGCCATCACAAATGGGCACCCGGTCAAGGCCCTGCTGCTCCACTTTCAGTCTAGCTCCCTGTCATGTGCCTGGGCAGGCAGCAGAGCCGGGCCTGGGCAGGCAGCCGAGCCGGGCCTGGGCAGGCAGCAGAGCCGGGCCTGGGCACTCATGAGGGAGACCAGGAAGAAGCGCCTGCCCAGCTGCAGCCACTGTGGCCATTTGGCGAGTAAACTAGCAGATGGAAGACCTCTCTGTGTCTCTCCGCCTCTGTTAACTCTTTTGAATGAATAAACAAATCTGTGTTTTATTTTAAGGACCAAGGAATGGGTGTTGGGGTGTCTCTGAAGCTTGTCTCTAGGACTTATGGCTGTTGGCAGGGGCAGGCCATGCCAGTGTGTGTGTCTTGTGCCAAGACACAGCCAGACTCAGGTGTGGCCTGGAGGTAGTGCCCACTGACGGCAGAGGGAGGCAGTGAAGGGGGCACACTACAGGGTGATTGGGCCCAGGGCTGGCGTTGCTGGGGGGTGCGGTGGGGGCGGGGCAGTGAGCTGGCCTTGCTGGGGGGTGCGGTGGGGGCGGGGCAGTGAGCAGAGGCCTGGAGGATGGCAAATATACAGAGAGGAGAAGACAGAGTGGCATTTCCTTTTTAGATTTTATTTGTTTTTACTTAGACTTATGTTTTATTTATTTGAAAGGCAGAGTTCCAGAGACGATCTTCCGGCTGCTGGCTTACCCTCTAAGTGGTTGCAATGGCCACAGCTAAGCCAGGAGCCCAGAGCATCCTCCGGGTTTCCCAAGCACTTGGGCCATCTTCCGCTGCTTTCCATTTGGAAATGGAGCAGTCAGGACTGAAACCGGTGCCCATTTGGGAGGCTGGTACTGCAGGTGGAAGCTTAGTGTGCTATGCTACAGCACCAGAGCTGTGACTTGAACTTCTACAGGTGGTGAGCAGAGCTATGGGGCAGGGCTGGACTGCTGAGGGCTGTGGCGGAGGCAGGGAGACCAGTCATGGGGAGGGTGGTCACTGCCCTGCGCACAAGACAGGCTGGACAAAATGGGGCGAATGGTCCTTCCCCAAACCCAGAGGGACCTCTCTGCTTCCTGTTTTCTCAGAGACTCACGGGGTTGGGGCCAAGGATGACCACCACCTTCCTCCCAGGGAATATGGCCTGGACAAGTACCGAGGGTCAGCTGACATGGGGCTAGGGAAGGTACTAAGAATGAGACAGAGCCGCCGCCTGGGGCAGGGCAGGGTGCGACGAGCCATGGCCTGGGCTCCACGAAGCTTTTCATGAAGGCAGGGCAAAGGGGCAGACTCCCAAGTGATTAAGGCAAGGCACGGACTCAGAGAGGGGGTACAGCGGGCCCAAGGCCACAGCAAGGCGTTGGGAACCACAGCTGTCAGCCAGCTCAAGGCAGACAGCTCGAGGGATCCCGGGGCTCACCGATGGATCCCGGCTGCTCACCTGTGGCGAGTCCAGCTGATGGAGCTATGAAGGGGCTGGGCCATAGGCGTGTGGCGCCAGAGGAAGGGCAGACAGCAGGCAGGGTGGGAGCTGCCCTAGGCTCATCCTAAATGGGACCAGGGTGCTTTCCAGTCCCTGGGGCCGGGGAAGAGCTTGGGGGGAAGGCTGGAGCCTACAGGGGCCTGAGGGGTATAGCGATAGTGATCTTTGGGCCAACTGGTTTCCCGGAGCAGACCTAGGGGAGGCACTGTGAGTGCAAGGTGGCCCCTGGGCCCCAGAACCTGCAGAGGCAGGCATTGGTGTGACCCCAAGTCCTCCCAGCTCCCTAAGGAATAGCAAGCATCAGCTAGGTCCACCCCAGGCTGGCCAGGCCTCTGGCTTCTCTGCAGCCGGAAACAGCTACGGCCCACGGACACCCACAGCCTCCTGGGCACGATCGAGTTTCCCACGGGTAGGTACAAGCCCCCCCTTTCAGGCTCACCCACCCGCCAGGGAGCGAGCTGAGCCCTCGTCAATAATTCACAAGGATTCACAGCGGTGCTGGGACACAGTGCTGCCGTGTTAAGAGGGGCCCCTAGCTGGGCACAGCGCAGCCTCTGCCCCCACCCCCCAGCTCCCAGCTCTGGGATCTTCATCCCCAATCAGCAGGCTGAGTGGGCACACCAGCTCCCAACCGTGATGCCCAGCCATGCCACCTGCCCAAGCCCATTCTGGTCACCACACAAAGCAACCTCCTTATCAGCTGGTCCCACACTGCCAAAGGGATGGGAGCCATGTCCTCTGTCCACATTCCTAGCATTCACGGTGATTTCCTGGAGGGGGCTGGCAGCTCAGTGGCCCAGGCCATCTGGCTACAAAATGGGCTCCAGGGCCCAATCGCACCCAGCACATGGCATGGCTTGAAAAGGCTGCAAGGCACCTAGGCCTGTGTTCTATGGTCTGGCCCCAGCTTGGGAGGGATCCTGGCTGGTCCTGTGGGGAGGACTCTGAGCCAGCACACCTCATCAGCCCTGGTGGGTGTGGAGCCCTCTCAGCACCACCTTGGGCTCCACTGGCCCCGCCACCAGGCTGGCCTTCAGGGGCCGTCAGGTGTGACGACACAGCAGGTGCAAGAGGGCTTTCTGGCTGCTGCGCCACCCCGCCCGCGAGGAGCCAGTGTCCTTTGGGGAAGTGAGAGGGCGGGGCAGCCTGGGGATGTCACCCGTGCAGCTCCTGGCTTCCAGCTGGACGGACAAAGGTCCAACAGGAGTCTGGGGCGCAGCCACCAGGATGCGGAGGTGCTGGGCAGGACCTGCCGGTCTTTCGCCCCCTTCTCTAAGTCCCCTGATTCGGACTTCACCCAAGCCCAAGATCCAGAATACCACGTCCAAGCGGCAATGCTGACCCCAGAGCCGGTGCCTGCTGTGCCCCCGCCAAACAGACCCTTGCTTAACAACAGAGTCAGGTGCACCTGTCCACCCCAGGCAGGGGACAGCCGAAGGCTGGCTAGGGGTCCTCAGGGCCTGCTCCAGCCACACCAGGGCCTCCGAGTCCTTGAGGCTACTCCCTGCACCCACAAATGCTCCCCGGTCTCCCACCTGCTCTCGGTGGCTGGCTGATGGCCGTGATGGTCTCCAGTGGGCAATGGACCAGTGGACACAGGCCAGACCACTCGTCTTTTGAAGTTGGGGTCACTTGGTATAGGCATCCACTGTGACTGACTGCTCAGGCTCAGGTCCCCTGGGTCTGGCACCCCCTTTTATCAACGTTCCCCAAGAGGTTCTGCCTCCCTCAGGAGCACCCAAGAAGGGCCTCTCCTCCTTCCCGTGGGACCCCTGCCTTGAGTCCCAGCTAATGGGCTGTACCATCAGGAAGCTTGAAGCTCAGAGCAGCCCCCAGGGTGAGGCCTCTGCTGCTGTGGAGGAGTGGCTGCACATACGGTGAGGTGTGGTGGGAGCCTAGGAGGGGCGCCTGGCACCCCAATCCGAACAGCCCTGCAAGCCAGCTTGGGCCTGGGGCTAGCAGAGTCACCAGCCTGCTGGCCAGCACCAAGGGAGGAGCCGCGACCCTGCCTGTGTGTGCTGGCCTCTCCCACCCTCCCCTCCCTCAGGCTGAGGGTGCAGGGTGGAGGTGGGGGGTGAGAATTGCTTGCAGGGCCTGGGGACAGTGGCTGCAGGAGAGGTTTGGGCATGGGCGAGGGATGGCCCTCTGCCACCCCCTACAGCTCCCAGGAGTGCTGGAGAGGCACAGCAAGGCTCCAGGCCCCTGCCGCTGCCAGGCCCGCGCCACCAGGCCCCCGCTGCTGCCAGCCCCCCCCCCCCCCCGCCGCCAGGCCCTGGCCCACCCTCCTGGCCCGAAGGGTGTCCTTACTCAGGGTGGCTCCCGACGAGCAGCCTCAGAGAGGGGAAGTCTCCCTTGGCGGCAGCATAGTGGACAGGCAGGGCGCCCGTGTCTGTGGCCACGGTGGGGTCCCCACCGCCATGACGCAGCAGCCAGCTCACCACCTCAGGGTGGCCGAAGCGGGCAGCCAGATGCAGAACTGTGGCACCAGAATTGTCTCTGTCCTGTGGGAAGGGAGCCGGTTAGAGTCCCACTGCCCGCTGCCCCAGACCACTCCCAGCTTCCCGCAGTAGGAGCCCAGGCCATGCTCAGCAGCGTCTCTTCCTGCGTCTCAGTCCATGCACAGTACCACCACGGGCCTGTAGGCACATGACCAGGAGATGCCCGGGCCCAGCAGGTGTCCAGGGCTTGGTGTCTGGTCCCCGTGGCAGGAGTCCAGCGCTCAGTCACAGCCAAGGGCACAGGGACACCGGGACGAGGGCCTGGGAGTGGCCGGGGTAAGCAGGGTCAGGGGTCACCCTGGTGGACTTCAGGTACACTTGCAATAACCCAACGTCTACAGAAAGCTGCCGTCTAGCGGCTGCCCCTGGCTTCGGCATGGGTACAGGCAGGGCACTGGCCCCTGGGGAGAGCTGGAGGACAGGCCTGAGCCGTCAGCGGGGCGGGGGGTGGTGAGCTTGCAGAACTCAGAGGAGGGGGCCTGGCCCCACTGAATGTGCCATCTGTGTACCCCCCCCACATTGTGCTGTTGTCAGGGACACAGCAAGGGCTACTCCTGGGCTCTGGACAGGTGGGGGTGTTCGGGTGGCATCTGGGCCTGGCACATTTGGGAGAGTGGACACTGGCTTCAGAACACAGCACTGCCGTGGTGCCAACCACAAGGAGCCCCAGAGGGGTGGGCAGGGACATGGGGAGGGGGCTGGGGCAGCTGGGAGAGGAGCACTGGACAGTGTGGACAGAGCACGCTGTGGGGACAGTATGGCCCAGGCAGAAGGCACAGGCTAGCGATGCCAAGCTTGAGGAGGGCAGATTCCCGTGGGAAGAGAACACACAGCTCCTGCGGGGGCGACCTGAACAAAGGGGCACAGTGGGCAGGTCACGAGCTAGGCCAGGGCCAAGGGCTGGCAGCCAGACCTGATGAGCAAGGGGACGCCGAGCCCTGGCCACACGCCTGGCAGCCCAGGGAGGACCGGCGACTGGCAGGTGTTTGTACTGTGCCCCTGCACCCCGGCTGGAGGTGACCCCGGCCAGGTGGATGGGCATCCCTGCTGAGACCCTCAGGCATGGATCTCGAGGCCCTGGTGGCTCTGGGTGGTCGTGGCAGAAGGGAGACGCCACAGGCCCCTGGCCTGTCCCTGAGCCGTCAGGGCTGTGCAGGTCTTGGGAGCCTCACGTGCCAGGGCCTGCGCCCTAAGCTGCTTATCTCCTGGTCCTGTGGCTCGAGGATCAAGGTCATATCCCCCCACACTTGGGCCCCAGAGCCTGCCGGGGGCTGAAGGCAGAAGACTTGATAAGCTGGGTACAAGGGCACCTGCTGTTTCTCCCGCCTCTGCAGTGCTCAGGGAGGCTTCCGGCCAGGCGTGGACACACTGGTCAAGGGAGGAAAGAGAGGCTTCCGGCCAGGCGTGGACACTGAGAGCCAGGAGGCGTGCCACCTCCCAGAAGACGGGGTATGGGCCATGTGGCCAGGAACCCCTGATAACAGGGCCAGCGAGGAGATAAGCGATGGGGCTATCTCCGGGGGGTGGGAGTGCACCCTCTGAGGGCAGGGGTGGGGTGTGCCGGCCAGCTTCAGGGCCTGCATGGCTGTCCTCATCCTGTCTCCATCACTCCCTCCTCTGGCTGCCCCTGCAACCAGAACAGCACCCAGATTCCTGCACCCCGCCCTCCTGCTGAGGCCTGGTCCGCTGGCCGCCCACACCCTGGCCTCCAGCACGGTGGGAATGCATGCCTGAGGGCCTTGCACTGCCTGTTCCAGGTGCACCTGCCCCAGCCCCCCATGGTCCCCGGCCTCCCCGCTGTGCAGCCAGGCCTGGGAGAGGCAGTCATGCCCCTGCCTGGGGGAGGAGGCATGTCTGGAGTTGGAGCCAGGAGGCCCTAACGGCCTGACACCCTGCGGTGACATCCCCAGTGGTCCGGGCCCACCACCCTTCCCCTGTGTCCTGGCGCCAGACACCTGCAGCCCGGCCTGGGACGGGCCCTGGACTTTGCCCATCCCCCCTCGGGCCCTAATCCTGGAGGGTTTCCGACCCTGCTACGCCGGCCCTTCCCACCCCAGCAGCTTGCCCACTGGGTAGATCAGATGCCCGGACTCTCCATGCGCGCATTCCAGCCCCACCTGGCACAGGGCTGCCACGGAGCTCACGTCACCCAAAATTCGGGGAGCCAGGGTGGGCCAATCCCTGCCCACCCCTCTGGGCCCGAGCCCAGGCCCCGGAAGGAAGCCCCTGGTCGCGCGACGAGCGGCGAGGACCCACCTGCACTCGGCAGCCGCCCTGCGAGAGCAGCCACTGCAGACAGGCCAGGTGGCCGGTGGCGGCGGCGTCGTGGGCTGGTGTGGCGCCGTTGCGCGCTCGGGACGCGGCGGGCAGGGCGGCCTCCTCCACCAGGAAGCGCAGACAGTGTAGCTTGCCGGCGCGGGCCGCGTGGTGCACGGGCAGCGCGTCCAGGGGGTCCCGTAGCGAGGGTCCCAGCAGACCGGCGGCGTGCAGCGATCTCAACACGTCCAGCTCGCCCTGCCGCGCCGCCTGCAGCGCCTGCTCCAGTGCCATGGTGCCGCCCGCGGCGCCGCGACCCGGAGCTCAGAGCCTTCTCGCGGGCTCCATGCGTGTCCCCTCGGGCGCCCGCAGGAGCCCTCGCCGCGGCCGTCGGGGCAGTGCGGGCTGGGGAGGCGGAGCGGCTGCCTGCCAGGCCTCCGCTTCAGACGCCTCGCTCCGCCTCCGCTGCGCTCTGGGGCGGGGATCCCGCGGGAGCGGGCCTTAAAGCTCGGGCCCGCCCCGGGGCCGCCCTCGGCCGGGACCGCCCCGCCGCCAGCCCCAGGCTCCTCCCGGCCCCGCCGCTCGGCCACAGGGCCTGCTGGCCGCTGCCGCCCTCCTACTTTGCTTTCAGGTGGACACCGAGACGCAGAGAGCGGCCACAAGGGGTTAGAATTGGAGGGGTTAGAATGCGGCTCTTTGGGGGACCAGGGACAACATCTTTGAGGAGGGTGCGAAGGACATGTCCACCCCAGGCTGGCTGGCCAGAGAGAAGGGCCAGTTCTCGCGGAGGCCCTGAGGGAGGACCAGGCAGGCCTAGGGTTGGGGGTGCCTCCCCCGAGTGCCAAGGGCGCCGAGCCCCAGTCCCCGCGGGTCCTTCCGGATCTTCCGCTCAGAGGGAAGAAGCTACAGGTGCAATCCGACCCCGGAATCAGGTGGCCTGATAGGGAGAGTCGGCCACCAGCTGGGCCAGGGCCTGAGCCAGACAGCCGCGCAGCAGACAAAGCAGGGATATGAGGCCCTGCCTGAGGAGACAGGCAAGGTACGGAGGGCGCCCGCGGGCCAGTGAGCCAGGCCACTGCGACCAGACAAGGTCAGGGGAGCCGGAGGAGTGAGGTGGGCAGCACAGGTGGGAGAGTGGCCAGGGTGGGGGCAGTCAGCATATCTGGGACCTTGAAACAAGCCATGCCTGGGCCCGGCGTGACAGCGCAGCGGTTAAAGTCCTCACCTTGAATGCTCCGGGATCCCATATGGGCACCGGTTCTAATCCCAGCAGCCCCGCTTCCCATCCAGCTCCCTGCCTGTGGCCTGGGAAAGTAGTAGAGGACGGTGCAAAGCCTTGGGACCTTGCACCTGCGTGGGAGACCCAGAAGAGGCTCCTGGTTTCGGATTGGCTCAGCTCCAGTCGTTGGGGTCACTTGGGGAGTGAATCATCGGATGGAAGATCTTCCTCTCTATCTCTCCTGTCTGTATAGCTGCCTTTCCAATAAAAATAAATAAATCTTAGAAAAGAAAAAGAAGTAAGCCATGCCTTTCCCCTCCCAGTCACACCTACAGCGGGAGCCTGGTGAGAGCCCGCGCCCAGCCTAGGGCGTCGCTGGGAAGCAGGCCGTGGGATGAAGCCACTTGCAGGGACCCTGGGAATTTTAGTGCTGGACTCCAGCATTCTGTCAGATGCAATTCCTTGGGCTGCCACCTGGAAGCGCTGTGTGGTAACCCCCGCTGCTGCGTCATGCGTGGCCACCTGCCACCTGCTTCTGCAAGACTTCTGCTCTCCTTAGCTGGCCTCGCTGCCTCCTGCGGTCGCTGGATATCCCCGAGGCTTGCAGACAAGGGTTGGGCGGCGGGGCTGCTGGGGCTGGGGCAGTGGCAACAAGCCCAGAGAGCAGCGCATGCAGCGGCCAGCAGGTCGCGGGGAGGAGGGCTCCCCTGTGCCTTCTCCAGGTCTGAAGAGTCCTGCCGAACACACTCTTTCCTGGTCCTGGAAGCTCACCAGGAAGATAGCACATTTGCCATCTGTGGGCTGTGCCCAGGTGACACGTTGCTGCTGTGTAGTGGGCCAGGTGAATGCCCCTGACTCTTTTCCCCATGGGCAGTATCTTGGTAAACTCAGGTGTGAACACTCACACTGCTGACCAGCCTTGCGTGCCCCCCGGAAGCCGTGGCTGAGCCTGGGAGTCAGCATTTCCTGCTGTGACCTCCATGGGGCTTCCCCAACAGTCCCAGACAGCAGTAACACATGCTGGAACTCCCAGCATGCATTAGGCTGGGAGCCAGCCCTGCCCTGGATGTGCAACGCCCGCCGAGAGGCTAGGACGCAGGAGCTGGGGCCACTGAAGCAGGGGTTCCCCTTTTTTCTTAGAAACTTATTTTTAAAGATTTATTTGTTTTTTTTTTATTGCAAAGTCAGATATACAGAGAGGAGGAGAGACAGAGGGAAGATCTTCTGTCCGATGATTCACTCCCCAAGTGAGCGCAATGGTTGGCGCTGCGCTGATCCACAGCCAGGAGCCAGGAAGTTCCTCCAGGTCTCCCACGCGGGTGCAGGGTCCCAAGGCCTTGAGCCGTCCTCGACTGCTTTCCCAGGACAGAAGCAGGGAGCTGGATGGGAAGTGGAGCTACCAGGATTAGAACCGGCGCGCATATGAGATCCCGGAGCGTTGAAGGTGAGGACTTTAGCTGCTAGGTCATGGCACTAGGCCCCAATATTTATTTATTTTTATTGGAAAGACAGATATACAAAGAGAAGGAGACACACAGAGAAAGATTTTCCATCTCTTGGTTCAATCCCCAAGTGGTCACAATGGCCGGAGCTGAGCCAATCTGAAGCCAGGAGCCAGGAGTTTCTTCCAGGTCTCCCACAATGGCGCAAGGTCCCAAGGCCTCGGGCCGTCCTCTGCTGCTTTCCCAGGCCACAAGCAGGGAGCTGGATGGGAAGTGGGGTTGCTGGGAGACGAACCAATCCCTGTGGGATTCCGGCATATATAAGGAGAAATCTTTAGCAACTAGGCTACCATGCCAGGCCCAGAAAAATGCTTTTTAAATAAATTAATTTAGTTGAAAGGCAGAAATTACAGAAAAGGAGACAGCAATCTTCCATCCACTATTCACTCCCCAGTGGCCACAACGTCCAGTGCTGGGCCAGTCTGAAGCCAGGAGCCAGGAGCTTCCTTCTGGTCTCCCAAGTGAGTCCAGGGGTCCAGGGACTATGGGCCACCCCCGTTGCTTTCCCAGGTGCATAACCAGGGAGCTGGGAAGGATGTGGAGCAGCTGGGACTGGAATCTTCTCCCATGTAGGATACGGGTGATGCAGACAGAGAATTCGCCTGCTGGGCTGGGGAGGCCGGCCCCTCCCTTTCTGAGCCTTTTTTTTTTTTAAGACTTGTTTATATTCATTGGAAAGGCAGATTTACAGAGAGAAAGACCTTTCATCTGCTGGTCACCTTCACAAGTGACCACAACAGCCGGAGCTGAGCCGATCTGAATCTAGGAGCCAGGAGCTTCTTCTGGATCTCCCAAAGAGGAAGTGGAGCAGCCGGGATACAAATCAGTGCCCACATGGGATCTCGGTGCATACAAGGCGAGGATTTAGCCAATGAGCCTTCACCCTGAGCCCTGAGCTCTTAAATGATTACTTGGATGGGGCAGGCAGAGGAAAAAGGAAAAAGAAAAAGGGGGAAAAAAAGAATGATTACTTCAGGGCTGGCACAAGAGCTGAACCAGCTAATCCTCTGCCTGCAAGTGCCAGCATCCATACAGGGCACCGGTTCTAATCCCAGCAGCTCCTCTTCCCAGCTTGTGGCTGGGAAAGCAGTTAAGGACAGCCCAAAGCCTGGGACCTTACACCCGTGTGGGAGACCTGGAAGAGGCTCCTGGCTCCTGTTCAGCTCAGCTCAGGCCACTGCAGCCATTTGGGCAGTGAGTCAGTGGATGGAAGATCTTTCTATCTCGCCTTCTCTCTGCAAATCTGCCTTTCTAATGAGATTAAACGTATCTTTAAAAAAAGAGAAATCTTAAAAACACGATTGCTTGGGACAGAGCCAGGCTGTAGGACTCAGCTTGGGGAGGAAGGGCTCCACTCGCTTGGGCTGACTGAGTACTTGGAGTGGTTTATTCACATCCTTGGGACAATTGTCAAGGCTAATGGAGGCCCAGGCCTTGAAGCCTTGGGCCCTCAGCTGGGCCCCGTTCGTGGTGGAAGCTATGCCAGCTTGGAGCTGCCCAGCTCTGGGCTCTGGAACCCCTTCCATAGATTGGTACCTGCTGATTTCCTAGGTCCCTGCTGGGGAGAAAGGGACAGGAGGCCCGGCCGCCAAGCGGGGTGAGGCTCTGGCGGCAGGAATGGGGCGAGGGGGCCAGCACCCTGGACAGAGCTCGCCCCGACCCCTCCCGCCGGGTCCTCCACCCTCCGCCCCGGCCTGTGTCCTGGGCGTTTGCAGTGCAGCCCGCCAAGTGGCCGTTGCCAGCCAGCCGGCCGGGGAGGGGGCAGCGGCAGATGGGCAGGGGACGCCGGCCCGTTGGCCGCAGCAACTGCCGCGCGGCGCGGAGGCGGGCCCGGCGGCCGCTGGGGTCGGGACCAGGCGGGAGCTGGCGCTCGGGAGGGACGCGAGCCGGAACCGTGGGGGCCGAGAGGAGTGCGCAGGGTGCCCGGTTTCTCTTCTTTTTTCCGAGCTTTCCCACTGCAAGCTGGAGTGGGGGAACCAGGCGACCCCTGAGTACGAGACCACAGGGAGGGGCCCCTGCGTTAAGGACCGGGGTCCTCAACTCCTTCCATCCGTGGAGCAGCTGTGACAGGGTCCGTGCCCCACTAGCCCCCGTGGGAGCTCCTCAGGGCCGTCGAGGCCCCACGGTTGGGTGCAAAGAAGGCACGGAGCTGAACGCCCGTCTGAGAATGGATGGGGGTGACGTCGAAGAGGCGGGACGCGGACTATCTGGCGAGGCCTGGTCCCTCTCGTCCGTCCTGCCCGTGGCGGTCCCCAAAGGAGCCCACACCGCTCGCCCAGGACCCGCCGCAGATGGGACGCGGAGGCCGAGAGCCAATTCCCTGGGGACCCGCTGCGGGCCCCCTCCAACCTCTCCCCCGCTCCAATCCCAGCGCAGGAACAAAGGCGGGAGGTGGGAGCCGCAAGAGGTCAGCCTGGGCGGGGCGGGGCGGCCACCGCCTCCTAAAAGCCCGGCGGGCCGCCTGGCGCGCACTCCTCAGCCTCCCGGCCTCGCTGGGAACATGGGGCTGCCTCGCAGAGCCGGGGACGCGGCGGAGCTGCGCAAGGTAGGAACGAGGCGCAGAGGCCGGGAGGACGAGGCGGGACCCTCGGCCGGTGCCACCTAACCACGGCTTCCGCGCCCGCCCCGCAGAGCCTGAAGCCACTGCTGGAGAAGCGCCGGCGAGCGCGCATCAACCAGAGCCTGAGCCAGCTCCAGGGGCTCCTGCTGCCGCTGCTGGGCCGGGAGGTGAGTGCCGCGGGTGGAGACTCCCCGGGCGGGCGGCTGCGCTCCTGCAGGTGAACCGGCGACTGGGCTGCACGCGGCGCCCGCGCCCGAGCCCTGCTTGGACGCAAGTCGCGGGGCAGACGCGCTGCGGGCCGGGAGCGCGGCGCTCACGGTGCCAACCCTCACATATCCGTTTGGTTTGCCTTTCTTTGGTCTTTTCCCTCGTGGCGGGGCGCAGAACTCGCGCTCCTCGAAGTTGGAAAAGGCAGACATCCTGGAGATGACCGTGCGTTTCCTGCAGGAGCTGCCGGCGTCCGCTGCTCCTGCCGCCGCGCCTGGTGAGAACCGCGCCCGCTCCTCCTGGGCTACCCTTCCTTTACCTCCTGCACCCCGCCCCGCGCCTCAGCCGAGCCTCCGGATGCTCCTTCTGCCTGCAGCTCCCGCCGACAGCTACCGGGAGGGCTACCGCGCCTGCCTGGCGCGCCTGGCTCGGGTGCTGCCCTCCTGCCTCGTCCTGGAGCCCGCCGTGAGCGCGCGTCTGTTGGAGCATTTGCGCCGGAGGGCGGCCGGCGCCAACTCCGACGGTGGGCACCCTGGAGACCCCGGGGATCCGCCCTCGGCCGCCCCGCCGCCCGCGCCCGCGCCTCCGCCCTTGCCGCCCGCGCCTCCCCGCGGCCCTGGCTTCTGGCGGCCGTGGTAGCTTCCTGGCGGATCCACGGCCCCTGCTGAGCACGGAGTACCTGGAGTGTGCGGCCGCGAGGAACAAGTGCAGCGCCCACATCCAGGCCGGACCCGGATGTTTGCCACAGGCCTCAGCTGCAGGAGGCAAGGGGGCAGCCGCTGTGCCTCGCCGGGATTTGGGAGTGTCTGCGCTGCAGGAGAAGGACATAGCCCTCAACCCAGAGTTGGTGCTGGAGCTGTGCCAGTAGCACACTGCAGAGGCAGCCAACACAGCTGACCTGGGCCTGGCACCCTACCAAGGCTTGGGCCAGGCACTCACCGGGCCAGGTGCTGTGCCCGCTCGCTGCCTTGCTGGCCCTTGGCCCTGCTCAGCTCAGCCGGCTCTGGAACCTCTGGGGACCCATCAGCAATGCCCTAGGGCACTGGAGCAGGGCAAGGGAACAATGGGGCTGGGGAGCTGTCCCTGGGTTGTTCCATTTAAAACTTTGGGCAGAAGGGCAGGGTGCTGCTGGGGGTGGGGTGCACAGGGTGGTCTCGGGAAGAAGCCATTACTGTTGTGACTGCTCCACGCACTGGGCTGGAGCCTCACATCTTGGGATGTGAGGAAGGGATGGCCTGGGTCTCAAGGCGGCATAGTGTGTGCAGGAGGGCCTGAGCTCGGAGCAGACAGTGCTGGGCAGAGGCAAGCGGCCCCTATGAACCGCAGACAGGGAGGGGCGGGTTAGGAACCAGGGGACCTTGGCTGCCCGCCTGCACAGGTTACAGGAAGCACCTGGCTCTGGAAGCTTCTTGGAATCCACACACACCAGGAGGGCTTCAGGGCCTGCAGATCCCAGGGGCGGGCGAGGGGTTGGTTGGAGGGAGCTGTCACCACGTTAGGTGGCACAGATGCCCTTGACTAGCTGGGTGCTGCTGCGGGCAGCAGGACGGGCGGTTGCAGTGGGTGTCATTTCAAAAGCGACGATCCAGGCTATGGGGGAAACCCGCAGCCGGGTGTCCAGTGAGCTCCCTTGCACACCTGTATATCCGCATGGCGCTGGACAGACTGAGAGCATAATAAACACAGTGGACGAGCAGCGGGTCACGTGGCTGCATCCTGGGCACATGGCCTGGGGGGCCAGTGGGGGCCAGGGCTTCCTGTGAGGACAGGCATGGATGGAGAGGGCCAGGGGAGGGTCCTTTCAGGTTCACCCGCTCGGGGAATGCATCCCACAGGCACTGCTTTCCTGAGCTGCCAGGAGCAGGTGCGGGGCCGCGAGCTGCAGTCCGAGCCCCGTTTCCTGAGCCCCGGGGAGTCTGGACTGGGTGCCAGGTTGCTCACGAGACAAGGCCCTCGCCCCCACATGTGGAAACTCCTGCAGGTTTCAACCACAGGAACTGGCCTCTCTGACTTGTGGCTCCCGGCAAGTTCGGCACTTGCAGCAGGCAGGGAGGGAGGGAGTGTGTGGCTGGGTCACTGAGTCACAGGGAACCAGGACTGGCATGCCCAGGCTGGTGAGGTTCTGGGCCCGGGGGCGAGAAGCAGTTTTCCAGTGGAGACGTGTGCTGCCCAAAGGTCCTGACCCCAGGGCTTCAGGCTGCATTTGGGAAATAGGATGCCACATCCTCCCACTCAGGCACCTCCCCCGGGCAGCTCTCCACGTAGTCCCAGCTCCCTGCCTGATGGTTACGGGTGAACACAGGGTGGTGTGCCTGTTCTGTGTGTGTGTGTGTGTGTGGGTGGGTGGGTGCTTCAACCAGACAGGCAGCACGGGACCCTTCACCGGCCCCACTGTGTGTCCAGTGGCCAGTTCTTGGGGTGTTTGTTCTGTGGTGGTGTGCCATGACCCCACTGGGGTTGCTTGCTCCCCACTGGGTTATTATCCCAGCTGGAGGAAAGTTCCCACGCCTGCCCCGATGGCTCTTGTAAAACTGCAGGACAGCAGGGGACAATCAGCTGTGCTGGGCCATGGCCCTCCAAGGGGACCTGGGCTTACGGACAGACGCCCCGCCTGCCCGTGCTGGACCAGGCGGCCAGGGATCAACTCTCCTTGTCCATGATGATCATCTGAACATCCACGGACGGTGCCACCCCCTTGGGAATGAAGGCTCCTGTGGGCGAGAAGAATCTGTGACCCTGTTTTGGGGAAACCCCTGCTTGAGGGTCTCCACCCTGGAGGTGCTGGGAGAAAGGGGTCTTCCCCAACACTGGCAGCTTCTGCTCTGACGGCCTCAGGCCGCAGCCATGGCCATGTTGGCAGCAGTGGGTGTGCAGTGTTCCCAGCAGGCAGTGTCTGGGGGTGGCTTGCCAGCCTGATCAGGGATCTGCAAGCTGCTTCCACCCAACAAACACAGCATCAAGGCCGCTTCTTTTCACAAATGCACCAGGTTGGGGCCGGCCTTGCAGCATGGCCCCTGAAACTGCTCCAGCAGAAGGTGGGCCACGTGGGGGACCCAGAAGCAGCTCCTGGCTTCTGTCTGATGCGGACTGGCTGCTGTAGCCATCTGGGGAGCAATCAGTGGATGGAGGGCCTCTCTCTCCCTGTAACTCTGACTTTCAAAATAAGTAAATCTTATAGTAAAAACAATACTACAGCATGTTGCTGGAGCCACTTTGGAGCAGAACCCAGCACTGACGGCGTTCTCGGGGGTCCCCCGTGAGTACAGCTGCGTCTCTTGGTGTGCAATGCCCACGTGTGCGTGTCCCTGTGCATCGTGGGGGGCTGTTCAGGCATGCCGCCGAGTAACTGGTTTCTCTCAGGGTTTTCAGAGGCCCTGGCAAAGCCCCAGTGCTTAGAGCTGCTCCAGTTAAACAAGACTGATGGGTTCTGGAGCGTGGGAAAACAGGTAGCGGACCCGCCCAGCTGTGCAGATGATGATGTGCCATCTGAGCTCCACTGGGGGGCAGCAGAGATCAGGAGCCCAGTGTCTGGGCACAGGTTGGTCCAGGAGGACGTGGCCTCGTCCGCTGACCGGCCAGCAGGGTGGAGGGAGAGGATCCACTCTAAATGCGTGGGTAGGCTGTTGGTAGGACACCAGAGCCACCCACGTTGGTGCCGCGTGGAAGAGCTTTTTAATAAGACCCAGGGAGCACAGTCCAAAACACTCTAAAGCACAAGATTAGGGGCAAATCCGGGTTATGTGGGGACTAAACATCGAGCTTCTCTTTAAGAAGGAAATGAAATTATAGATACAGTCATCCAAGTTTTTAAAAAGATTTATTGATTTTTAGTTGTGTGAGAGACAGATATCTTCCACCTGCTGGTTCTCTCCCCAGGTGGGCACAGTGGCTGAAGCTGGCTGGTCTGAAGCCATGAGCCAGGAGCTCCTTGCTGGTCTCCCTCGAGGATGCAAGGGCCCAAGGCCTTGGTCCATCCCCCTCTGCTTTCCCAGGCTATCAGCAGGGACCTGGGACAGAACTTAGCTAATGCTTCCATGGGACACTGGTGCAGCGGACAGAGAGCTAACCAGCTATGCCATTGCGCTGGTCTCAGTCATCTGAGGTTTGTTTTAAAATTGTTTATTTTTTTTGAAAGGCAGAGACAGAGAAAGGTCTGCTCTCTGTTTCACACCTCACGTGGCCTCAGTGGCCTGGGGCTGGGCCAGATGGAAGTCAGGAAGTGTGTCTGAGTCTCCCCCGTGAGCGCAGGGGTCTAAGCACTTGAGCTGAGCAGTAGCAGGGAGCTGTATGGACAGTGGAGCAGCCGGGACTTGAACTGGTGCCCATATGGATGCTGGCATCCCAGGCAGTGGGTTAACATGCGGCACCACCTTGTCTACTGTAGACATCTAAGTTTGAAAAGAAATACTCAGAATGCAAAATGCCACATTAAACTGATGCCGTTTGGATTTCTCTCCATCAAATTTTAAAAATGTGTTTAGTTTTATTTACTTGAAAGGCAGAGTGACAGGTCTGGCGTGATAGCGTAATGGTTAAAGTCCCTGGCTTGAACGTGCCGGGATCCGATATGGGCTTCAGTTCTAATTCCAGCAGCCCCACTTCCCATCCAGCTCCCTGCCTGTGGCCCAGGAAAGCAGTCAAGGACGGCCCAAAGCCTTGGGACCCTGCACCCGCGTGGGAGACCCGGAAGAGGCTCCTGGCTTAGGATTGGCTCAGCTCTAGCCGTTGCGGCCACTTGGGGAGTGAATCATTGGATGGAAGATCTTCCTCTCTGTCTCTCCTCCTCTCTGTATATCTCTGCTTTTCCAATAAAAATAAATATTTAAAAAAAGAAAGAAAGAAAGGCAGAGTGACACATGCACACCTACACACAAAGATGGAAATCTACACAGGGACATATCCTGCCCACTGTCCACTCCCCTTGTGCCCACAGTAGGCAGGCTGCAGCCGGAAGCTTCACCAGGGTCTCCCACCTGAGTGGCAGGGACCCCAGGATTTACCTGTTGTCGGCCGCTTTTCCCAGGCTAGTGACAGGGAACTGAATCGGAACTGGAACTGCCAGTGCCCAAATCAGTGCCCACATGGGATGCCAGCAGTGCCAGTGGTAGCTTCCCTGGTACCCTCATGCCGGTCCCAAAGTACAAGTTCTGGACCCACTCCCAGGGCTTCCCGCTGCTTGTGGTTGAGAGAATTGTACCACTAAGCCAGCGCATCTGCTGTAGCTGAGCCAGCACCAAGGGCTGAGGGCAGGGAGGAGCGGGGAGTGGTTTAGACACAGAATGCTCCAGAAGAGAATTCTGGAGGTGGATGGCGTGACAGTCACGCAGCAACGTGCACGTACTTAATACCACTGGCTTACACTTACGTGTGAGGAAGGTAGTCGAGCTTTTTGTTTTTATTTATTTTCCTTTTTTAATTTCTTTTTTTTTTTTTGTAGTCTAACTTCTTAAAAGATGTATTTGTTAATTTGAAAGGAAGAGTTATAGAGAGCGTTCATGTGCTGTCCACACCCCACGTGGCCACTCTGCCGGAGCTGGACGTGTGTCAGCAGCTAGGATCTTCAGGCAGTGCGTGGTATGGGAGCACTCGGACCACCCTCTACTGCTTTTCCAGGCGTATTAGCAGGGAGTTGGATCAGA